TGAAAGGTAAAAGTGTGCAGAACTGTACTGTCACCTTTCTCACTGCTCACACCTCTACTAGTTTTACCACATTTCTTGATCTAAAATCTGCATTCGGTATCGTGAACAGAACCGTTATACTACATGAACTAGCCAAAATTAATATTAGTGGTAGCTTACTCTGCTGGATTAGATTTTTAGATTTTGCCACCGAAGTGGCTAGATTATTGTGCACCCCATATCCATCCTGTGGACGGTAGCGCGAGAGCATATGGATACACAAAAGGCCTAGGAACTAGGCCCCAAAGGGTTAACAGGAATACATATGGATTTATATCTACATATCTATAGTTCACTTATCTGTTACAAGCAAATTTAGGAAATTTGCTTAGTATATCTGGTATCTTATTTTCATTAATAAGATATCTTGACATGTCACATAGGTTATTATACTGTCTGTCTCTGTATTCCTCAATGAGTGGACAATTAAGCACATAGTGTTCAAGAGAGTGACCATATGCCTGATCACGTAATTTACATTTAGTTTGATCATCGTCTGTGTGTCTCCCAAACTGCCAGAAGTACTTGTAACCAAGCCTAAGCCTGGCCACTACAACATCAGTCAGTCTGTTCACATTACTCTGCTGGATAATAGGATACCTGTCAAACAGTCTCCTCTGTCCTCTACCAAGTCTTCACCTTCCAATTATGACCCCTTGTTTCCATATCCTGTCTCTGTCCACTTTGTTAATTCCTCACAGTATTTTGTCGTTGTCATGTCTCCCCTAACCCTCCTGTCCTCCAGTGTCGTCAGGCCGATTTCACTTAACCTTTGCACTTTCTCTAATTTCTTGACGTGATTGACCAGGTGTGGGTTCAAAACTGGTGCTGCATACTTCAGTATGGGCCTGACGTACACGGTGTACAGAGTCTTAAACGATTCCTTACTGAGGTATCGGAACGTTAATTCTCAGGTTTGCCAGGCGCCCATATGCTGCAGCAGTTATCTGGTTGATGTGTGCTTCAGATGTGCTCAGTATTATGTATACTCGCCCCAAGATCTTTTTCCTTGAGTGAGGTTTGCAGTCTTTGGCCACCTAGCTTATAATCAGTCAGTCTGCGGTCCTCTTTGCCCTTCTCCGATCTTCATGACAATGCATTTTGCAGGGTTAAGTTTGAGGAGCCAGTTGCTGGACCAAGCATCCAACCTGTCCAGGTCTCTTTGTAGTCCTGCCTGATCCTCATCTGGTTTAATTCTCCTCATTAACTTCACATCTGCAAACAGGGACACATCAGAATCTATCCCTTCCATCATGTCATTCACATATACCAAATTAATATTCTTATAATAAAAAAGAAGCGCTAAACCTACAAGGGTCATAGTGCCGAGACACGCATATACAAAAAATAGCACTGGTCCTAGGATTGACCCCTGTGGAACCCCACTCATTACAGGTGCCCACTGTGATACCTCATCCCATACCATGACTCATTGTTGCCTCCGTCAGGTATTCTCTGATCCATTGCAGTGCCCTTCCTGTTATATTTATTTATTTATTTATTTAGTAATTTAAGCATACGTACAGAGGTACAAAAAATACAGGTAAGAGCAGCATGCCAAAGCCACTTATATGCATAGCATTACGGGCTAGCTTAAAATTAACTTAATATTAACTAAGCAGTGATGAAATCAGTGATAAAACATTATTGTAAACAGATAACTATAAAGCACAAATGAGTATTACAAAGACAGGTCATATGGTTGCTTGCATTGCTGTACATTCAGTCGAATGGAGTATTCTGTTAGGTAGTGTATTTAAAAAAATAATGAAGTTAGATTGGGTCCTAGGTTTAACATTTGTGTGATATAATTGTGAGTAACATATAGGATATACAATTTATAAGGTTCAGTTATTCAGTATTTATTTGGTTTTGAGTAAGTGATCTTTGAGAAGAGACTTGAATTTATAAACAGGTAGTGTTTCTTTTATATTTACAGGTAATGAATTCCAGATTTTAGGGCCTTTTATGTGCATTGAGTTTTTGCATAACGTGAGATGGACACGAGGAACATCAAAGAGTGATCTGTGCCTTGTGTTATGGTCATGTGTTCTGTTGAGGTTGGCAAGATGTTTGAGGGGAGGGTTAATATCAGAGTTAAGTGTTCTATGTATGTAATAGGTGCAATAATAAGTATGGATGTTTTGTATGGTGAGTAGGTTGAGTGTTTTGAATATTGGTGGAGTGTGTTGCCTGTAGTGAGAATTTGTTATCATTCTAACTGCAGCCTTTTGTTGGGTAATTAGTGGTCTGAGATGGTTAATTGTTGTTGAGCCCCATGCACAAATTCCATAGGTGAGATAGGGGTAAATAAGAGTGATAAAGGGCCAGGAGGAGTGACTGTGGAACATAGTACCGTATCTTCGATAGTATGCCTACAGTCTTGGAAATTTTCTTAGAAATTTGTTGTATATGTGTATGAAATTTGAGTCTATTATCGAGGTGGATTCCTAGGAATTTTCCCTCTGTTAGCTTTGAGATAGGTGATCCGTTTATTGTTATGTTAAGAGGTACATCTGTAGCTCTGTTACCAAACTGAATGAAGTAGGTTTTGTCAATGTTTAGTGTAAGTTTGTTAGTCCTCATCCAGGTAGATATTTTCTGTAATTCAGTGTTTACAGTATTGGCTAGCGTGACTGGGCTCGGGTGAGAGAAGACGTATGTAGTGTCATCTGCAAAAAGTGTGGGTTTGAGTAATTGCGAAGCATTTGGTAGGTCATTTATGGATAGGAGAAAGAGAAGAGGGCCAACACTATTCATCAGCTCTCACCAAAGTAATAAAAAAAAGCCAAACAACTATACTACTCCAGTAGATTCACAGACACTAGAGGAGATATAAAAAAGACCTGGAAAACACTCTCTCAGATTCTAGGGACCCACAAACTGAGAAAAACCAAGAATATTGTCCTAACTAAACCTAATGAAACACCACTACATCCCACTGACACAGCTAACAAGATAAATGACTTCTTCTCAAACATAGGATCTAATCTCGCCAGTAAAATCCCACATACCAATGCCCATGCCGGGGACTACCTAGATGGAAATTTCCCTAATTCCTTCTATCTTGCACCAACTGAGCCCACGGAAGTCATTGAGATCATAAAGTCACTTAAAAATAACTCGGGGAATCTGTCTCATGTCCCACCATTACTGTACAAGCGAGCGGCCCATGTCCTTTCGCATGCTATTTCATTACTTTTTAACAAGTCAATAGAGACTAGCACCTTCCTGAAACTACTCAAGATGGCAAGGGTTACACCAATACATAAAGGTGGTGACCCTACAGACTTAAACAACTATAGGCCAATATCTAACTTACCATTGCTATCCAAAATCTTTGAGAAACTCGTGCACAGGAGACTGTATTCATTTATAACGGCTCAAAACATACTCAACCCCTGCCAGTTTGGATTCAGGAAAAATAAAAGCACTAATGATGCAATTATAAAAATGCTAGATTTGCTTTACACAGCATTGGAAAATAAGGAATATCCACTAGGAATTTTTATTGACCTAAGAAAAGCTTTTGACACAGTAAACCACGAAATCCTACTCCACAAACTTGATCACTACGGTATAAGAGGCCATGCGCTTGCTTATTTCAAATCTTACATTACTAATAGGTATCAGTACGTCACCAGTCACCATTAAAGACACAGCATCAGCAACACGGCCACTTGATACTGGAGTTCCGCAGGGAAGTGTCCTTGGTCCCCTGCTCTTCCTCATATACATCAATGACCTTCCAAACGTATCCCAACACCTGAAACCCATTCTCTTTGCTGATGACATGACTTATGTCATCTCTCACCCTAATCTTGCCACCCTCAACACCATTGTGAATGAGGAGCTGATTAAAATATCGACTTGGATGACAGCCAATAAACTTACGCTTAACACTGACAAAACCTACTATATTATGTTTGGTAGCAGAGCAGGAGATGCACAAATTAACATTAAGATTGACAACACTCTAATTACCAGAAATAATGGGGGAAAATTCCTAGGCTTATACCTTGACAACAACCTGAATTTCAGCACCCATATCCAGCATATAGCCAAAAAAGTATCCAAAACGGTTGGGATCCTCTCCAAGATACGATACTACGTGCCGCAAAATGCCCTTCTCACACTATACCACTCACTTATTTATCCATACCTCACCTATGCTAATTTGTGCTTGGGGATCAACTGCAGCAACACACCTAAAGCCAATAATAACCCAACAAAAAGCTGCAGTAAGAATAATCACTAAATCCCATCCCTGGCAACACACCCCTCCACTCTTCATAGATCTAAACTTACTCCCAGTTCAGTACATCCACACTTACTACTGTGCAATCTATATCTACAGGGCCTTAAACTCTAATATCAACCTTGACCTAAAACGCTTTCTTGATAGTTGTGACAGAACCCACAGGCATAACACCAGACACAAACATCTCTACGACATTCCCCGTGTCCGACTAAACCTTTACAAAAATTCAATGTATGTCAAAGGCCCTAAAATCTGGAATACCCTACCTGAGAACTCTAGAACTGCAGACACATTCATCACCTTCAAAACTACCATTAGAAAACATCTTATCTCCCTGATACACCCCGTCAACTAACTACACGAATACCACCTGGTGGTTCACACTTACACTCGCTCACTCATTTGACCATAAACAGAAATATTAATCTCAGTCTTAAAATTATGAATCCTGTGATACTCCAATACTGAAACTATGTACTGTGCCAAAACAAAAGCATTCACATTGCTAAACTCACAAACTAGTATTTAGTCACTTAGCCGTAATACCAACTTACCTCATAATTTGTAATATTTTACAATTAAGAATAAAACTAAGTATGCCCGAAATGCCTAGCCATGCTAAGCGTTCTAGTGGTACACTCTGTAATCACAATTTTACTACATGTAAACCAAACAATAACCAAATTTCTGTAAACTCAGCATTGTAATCCTTACAGAGAATAAACTTTGAATTTGAAAAGGACACTTCCCTGTGGGACACCAACTGTAATTGGTTGTGCGGAAGAGCTTGCCCCATTTGCGTACACATATTGGCTTCTGTTGCTGAGGTAAGACTTGAGGTAGTTGAGGGAGTGCCCTCTAATACCATAGTGTGACAATTTTACGTGGAGCAAGTCATGGTCAACTGTATCAAAAGCTTTACGTAAGTCAATGAAGATCCCCAGTGGGACTTCTTTTTTCTCTATTGCAGTGTATATATGTTCTAGCATGTGTATAATAGCATCATTAGTATTTTTATTAGGCCTGAATCCAAATTGGCAGGGGTTGAGAATGTTTTGGGAGATGAGGTAGGAGTAGATTCGTTTATGAATTAATTTTTCGAAGATTTTTGAGAGAGGGTGTAAATTGGATATTGGCCTATAGTTATTCAACTCTGTTTGGTCTCCTCCTTTATGGATCGGGGTGACCCTTGCTATTTTGAGAACTGTAGGGAAGGTGGAAGATTCAATGGATTTGTTAAAGAGTGTTGCAATGATTGGTGATAGTACTTGTAACGCTTCTTTGTATATAAAGGGTGGTAAGGTATTTAAATCTCCTGCCTTGTTTTTCAGTGCGTTGATAATAAGGGAGACTTCGTATGGGTTAGTCGGAGCTAGGAACAGTGTGTTCGGATAGTTGCCAGTGAGGTAGTCATTTGGTGGGGTATCTGAGCTTGGGATTTTATTGGCAAGGTTTTGACCTATAGTGGAGAAGAAATCATTGAGTCTGTTTGCTGTTTCTGTTGGTGGGAGTTGGGGTTCATCTGATTTTGCTAATTTTATTTCGCTATGTCGTGATATCTTTTTTGTTCCCAGAATTTCTGATAGGGTCTTCCAGGTCTTTTTTATATCACCTCGTAAGTTGGATAATCTGTTTTCATAATACAATTTTTTTGCCCTTCTTATCAGGCTGGTTAGGATTGACGAGTAACGTTTTGTTTGGTCTCTGGTTATGTGACCCATTCTGTACTGTTTTTCCATATCGGTGTTTTGTATTTATGGATTTGAGAATGCTGGGTGTTAGCCAGGGACTGTTCAGTCTCTTAGCTGTCATCTGTTTAGTTTTTTTAGGGCAGTGCTTGTTATAAAGGTATTGGGTCTTTTTAGAAAATTATTAAAACATTCGTCAATATCTGTATAGATTTCTAGCTCAGTGTGCCAGTCAATGTTTGTTACTGCTGTTGTGAAGTTATTAATGGCTGCCTCATTGTGAAGTCTGAAGGTGACTTTAGTAGTGTCTTGGGGTATTTTACCAAGAGTTGTTATGAGGAAAGTAGGGTAGTGGTCTGTGGTATTATCTGTAATTATGCCTGATTTTAAAGGGGATATGGTGTTGGTCCAGATGTGGTCAAGTAGGGAAACACTAGTCTCTGTAACTCTTGTAGGTTTTGTTACTGTTGGTAGCAACATGCAGTTACTCATTGTGTTTGTGAATTCAGTAACGTGTGGGTCCTGGTCTTGCAGGAGATTTATATGTGCCTGATCCTCTATCTTTGGCACTAATCTCTTGTGAGGAACTGTGGCGAAGGCCTTCTTGCGGTCCAAGAAAATGCAATGTACCCATCCCTCTCTCTCATGTCTTACTTCCGTTGCCATGTCATAAAACTCCAATAGGTTTGCGACACAGGATTTGCATTCCATGAATCCGTGCTGGTTTTTTGTCGTTTATAATCTTGTTCCGTTCTAGGTGTTCCACCACTCTCCTGATAATCTTCCCCATGACTCTGCATACTATACACTTTAGTGACACTGGTCTAAAGTTTAGTGCCTCGTTTCTGTCTCCTTTCTTAAAAATGGAGACTACATATGTTGTCTTCCATACTTTCCATGTGGGTGTCTGTGAAAGCAGCAAATATTGCATTTGACTCTGTGAGCAGTCCACTGATTTAAGTTATTTTGTTGTTGGCTTTAGGCTCTGTATATTTGTAAAGATAAGTGTTGTCATATTGATGGTATGTAGGGGGCTTTGTTTGCCAGCACTAATACATCTGTTATTGTGGAGTGGAGGCCACTGACTGTGCCTCCATTCCAGTAATGATCAGAGATGGTGTAATATTTGTCATTTCTTGCCAACTTCTTTTTCTTCCTGGCACTAAAAAATCTGTCTCTGGAGTGGTTGTAACTACCCTGGTTTGTTTCCCATGGTCTGAGTGATCTGTATCTTCTTGTCCTGTTTAAATGGTGTACCTGACAGTATGTTTTGTAGCACTGTCTTTCATGGACTGAAGAGTCACATTTCAGGGTGAAATAGTTTACAAGAAGAGGAGTTGCATTTTTTTTGGGTCATGTGGGTGTGGCATTTTTTTGGATGGTCAAAATTACATGTCCCACATGTTTTTCCAGATGTTCCATGCCTACAGATACCCAAGGCATAGAATTTGCATAGATTTGATTTCTGTTTGCCAGGATTTTTTGTGGCTGGGTTCCCTACTGGTGCATTTTTTCTGACTTCCCAGTACCTACAACACCTATACAAACATCAATGCCTCCACCAGTTTTTACTGGTAATATATCAACACTATTCCCTGAAGCATCTTACCCATTTTTTCCCTCTCCAGCAATATTGCTATTTTGTAATTCTGGAATTTGTATAACTTTGGCTTTACCTGTTTCATCAACACCAGGACCACTATCTCCATCTGGTGCAGTTTTTCATTTCTGTATTCTTACAGGTACTGTCCTCCAAGACAATGCCAGCGCCAGGGGTGACAGCTCATCTGACCCACTCCCTTTACTTTCCCATGCAGCATTATGTATTTCCATAAACCAGTATGCAACCAAACTGAAAACTCATTCATGGTGAAGCAACAATCTTTTAATTTAATATTTAATTTGCATTTTTTGAAAATCCCATAGTTATACAAAGCATTTAGGGTAGACTAAATACTACTTAATACTAGTAAAGTTGTACAGCTGATGTGAGAATATTTGAATTTAAGATACACAATGTAATATGCCTCTTGCCTGCATTGAGGTACATGGGGTCCAGGTTCTAGAATACGGTATAGTGAATACCAGACAGGTCACTACATGGAGAAGACTCATGCTGGGGGTATGCTCATGGTGGACATACATGTATGCATGCATGCATACATACATACAATACTTTCATGGATTATTCATCAACAAAATCACACAGTGTTATGCAGGCTTCCTCTGTCAGATTGTGCAGCAACTGCAACACATCCAGTGTTAATCAGGGGATACCTCTGTGGACTGGTACAGAGACTACAGCGCATCTTGCGTTATGCAGGAGATCATTACAATAAAAACTAACTTCCAGACCCACAAGGTTCATGCAGTATACAGGAGATACATTACCTATCTTGGACAGCGCAGTGCCTGAAACACATCGTGTTGTATGGGGAATATCAGTTTGTGCAGTAGCTAAAGTAAGTCTAGTTTACTAGGGGAGTGGCCAATTAATGTGTACACATATATTAGTGACTTATACATTTAAAATTCCTGTTGATACATTAATAATTACATAATAGCGAATTAATGATTCAACGGAATTACTGATAGGTGCTATCACACAGCATGTGACAAGAGAATGTGGACACAATTTTTTCGTACAATAAGACTACATGTGACCAATGGTGTATTGTATCTGCTGGTGTTTATGGTGCTTACCTTGTTAATCCTCTTTGGTTCCGAGCTTGTTTGCATTATGATGATGTTACTTTTTATATAAAAATAATAAAATATTAATAAAGAATAAAAAGGCACAATACCATGTCTGGGTCAATACATAAATAACCAGCCCTCACACAGGAGAATGAAATTAATGATGCTTCAGTCTGACTTGATGAGTTAATAGTCCAAGTCAGACTGAAACGTCGTCTTAAGTTTTATGCCATGTGCGAGTTATTTGTGTGAAATACCAATAAAATTAAAAAGGACACTTAGAACATCTTTTTTGGACACATTTCACTCCTGAGAACTTGATCATTTCGAATGGTACAATTATTATTATAATCAAAACTAAGTGCTAAACCCACCAGGGTCATACAGCACTGCTCAAATGATACAAGAAAACGAGAAAGCACAGTATTGTACATAAAGTGGAAAGTATGTCAGAGGTGATGGTCAGATGGAGGTACGAGGTCACCAAATTGCCATGTCACATGAAAACCAAACAGCAGCATATAGCAATATCACGTGGTAGAGTTGCCAGTCCTTTGTGTTACAATGTTGGATGTAGCAATTATGGATGGTGATACATTGGAGCTTATTCCTGTTGGGTTCCTGGAGGGTGTTCTGGGGGTTAACATTCCCACAGCCTGGTCCATGACCAGGCTACTGTAGCTTATTTCTACATTGTTCCAGCGCATGAGATGGCCATCTTTAGACCTGCATACAACACAAGTGTTGCTGGCATTGTCTCTGTTGCAAGCACATTTGTGTTCCTGAACTCTTGGAAAGATTCTTCCCACATAGATCTTGTTCACTCCCTACATGGAATGGTGAATGTTCCTGCTTCAGTGTTTGGAGTGTCATGAGGATATTTCTTTCTAGTGAGGTCTGCTAGATGATGAGGCCATGTCAGCTAAGATGTAGTCTAGTAAGGGCCTTCATTTGTTGCTGGCCACTTCTTGTACAGGTAGAATCATGAATCTAGATTTCTTAGTAGTGGTGCAGTAAAATTTAATCTTATCCGTGCACTTGCAGTCTTGCATGAATTATAATCAAGTGAAGTACTAAACCCAAAAGGGTCATACAGCACTACCTTGTATAAAATAGGGAGAGGAGGTGTAATCATGTGCAAGTATGGGTTATGTACTGGAATTATTTTTTCTAGGAGTTTGAGACTCGAGATACAGATTTTTTTTTTTATTATCACACTGGCCGATTCCCACCAAGGCAGGGTGGCCCGAAAAAGAAAAACTTTCACCATCATTCACTCCATCACTGTCTTGCCAGAAGGGTGCTTTACACTACAGTTTTTAAACTGCAACATTAACACCCCTCCTTCAGAGTGCAGGCACTGTACTTCCCATCTCCAGGACTCGAGTCCGGCCTGCTGGTTTCCCTGAACCCCTTCATGTTACTTTGCTCACATTCCAACAGCACGTCAAGTATTAAAAACCATTTGTCTCAATTCACTCCTATCAAACACGCTCACGCATGCCTGCTGGAAGTCCAAGCCCCTCGCACACAAAACCTCCTTTACCCCCTCCCTCCAACCTTTCCTAGGCCGACCCCTACCCCGCCTTCCTTCCACTACAGATTGATACACTCTTGAAGTCATTCTGTTTCGCTCCATTCTCTCTACATGTCCGAACCACCTCAACAACCCTTCCTCAGCCCTCTGGACAACAGTTTTGGTAATCCCGCACCTCCTCCTAACTTCCAAACTACGAATTCTCTGAATTATATTCACACCACACATTGCCCTCAGACATGACATCTCCACTACCTTCAGCCTTCTCCTCGCTGCAACATTCATCACCCATGCTTCACACCCATATAAGAAAAAACCCAATGATTACACTTCTTTTGACTCGAGTAGAAATAAGAATGGGAATCTTCATTTGTAGGCTTTGTATTATTATTGTACTTCCATGGGGAAGAGCTAAATCAATAGGGGTCATACAGTACCTAGGGAAATGGAAGGCATTCAGACTCAATTCAAGAATTGGAGCACAGGCCGAATGCCTTGGATCATGAGCCCCTCACCAGCATCAAGAAACCTATCTAAAGGGTAGGCTTCCTTTAGACACTATGGGAGGTGGGGAGGAAGGGATGTCTGTGTTAAGTGCTTGCCATAGAATATCAAGAAGTGGTAATGTGTGTTCTTTTTCCACTTTTAAGACTAAATTTCATAGTTTTTAAACATTGATCCTATTATCTCTTATGTTAAATCTTCTGGGATATACGACCAGAATGTCTTAAACGTAAGTATGTTCTGTATTAGGGAATTTAATACAGCCACTTAACGATGGAGTTCTGTTCCTAAGTTCACCACTAAACGGACAGGCTCTAAACATAAGCAACGAATAATCGCTAGGTTATGGATAAGATTTAACAAGTGCAGCAGGTGTCAAAAGATCATATGCAGGTAGACCATGGTCTACTGATCTACCCCTCAGGTACATTGGGAGAGCACCTTAAGAATGTCTAGCATCCACTTTAAGCTTCTTTATACGAGAGACCTACGTCTGGCCCTGATCAAAGACCATTTGCAGAAATGTCATCTGCTGCTTGTATTATTATAATAAAAAAGAAGCACTAAACCTACAAAGGTCATACAGCACTGCCCTGCTGCTTGTAGGAAGAGCCCACACTGTGGGGTTGCACATGGGAAATAGACTAACCCAGGAATGGATAAATTGAAGTTACCTTTTTCTGAGTGGAAAACTGGTGGCAGTTAGCAACAGCCTGCTCTGTGATGTCCAGCCACCTGAAGCTGGCAACTCCAAGAGTAGATGCCGAACAGTAGGTAGCAGGATTATTCACATACATGGTTGTCTTCGCTCCATCGGAGACAATGCCAAACACACCAGTCATGGCTATAATAAAGCAAGTGATGCGCATAACGTTGCCCTACAGTATCCCTTCCTCCAGGAGTAACTCCCACGAGTAGCACAAGCTCTCGCATTGAACAATCCACTGGACAAACTGTTGGAGAAACCAGAACAGACGATCCCACAGTCTGATTCTGGAGAAAGTGAAAAACTTCAAATCTGCACTTTGTCATATTATTCATAGTACAACTCATGAAAATGGAACAGAATCATTTATATAGTTTGGGTACCAGGGCAGCAGATAGGTTGAAATTTCACCTCCACATCTATAGCAGTTTTGCACACACCAAGGAATATTTAAAGCAATTTTTTTGTGTGTTTGGAGTAGAAGGGCAACTTCCAGTCTAGAAGTTGGATTACAAATCTCAGTCATTACAATTATAATCATAACTAAGCGCTAAACTCACAAAGGTCATACAGCGCTCCAGGGTAGGATGTGCTAACTTTGTAACATGCTTGATCAGAGACCAGCGAGAGTGAAGAATATGCCAGAGGCAGTTAGTAAAGGAGTAAGGTTTGCTAAAGGGAAGTATAATCAAAGTTGGTGTAATAAAGCTGTTGCTGACAAAAAAGTTAAGAGGGAGTCTGTGTCAAACGTGGGGCTGTCAGCGACATCAGATAAAGTAAGGGCATTAGAACAGGGGAAGTGGAAAAGAATCTTTCCTCCGTAAGCCATGCGTGTCGTATGAGGCGACTAAAATGCCAGGAGCAATGGGCTAGTAACCCCTTCTCCTGTAGATATTTACTAAAAAAGAGAAGAAGAAAAACTTTATAAAACTGGGATCCTTAAATGTGCGTGGATGTAGTGCGGATGACAAGAAACAGATGATTGCTGATGTTATGAATGAAAAGAAGTTGGATGTCCTGGCCCTAAGCGAAACAAAACTGAAGGGGGTAGGGGAGTTTCAGTGGGGGGAAATAAATGGGATTAAATCTGGAGTATCTGAGAGAGTTAGAGCAAAGGAAGGGGTAGCAGTAATGTTGAATGATCAGTTATGGAAGGAGAAAAGAGAATATGAATGTGTAAATTCAAGAATTATGTGGATTAAAGTAAAGGTTGGATGCGAGAAGTGGGTCATAATAAGCGTGTATGCACCTGGAGAAGAGAGGAATGCAGAGGAGAGAGAGAGATTTTGGGAGATGTTAAGTGAATGTATAGGAGCCTTTGAACCAAGTGAGAGAGTAATTGTGGTAGGGGACCTGAATGCTAAAGTAGGAGAAACTTTTAGAGAGGGTGTGGTAGGTAAGTTTGGGGTGCCAGGTGTAAATGATAATGGGAGCCCTTTGATTGAACTTTGTATAGAAAGGGGTTTAGTTATAGGTAATACATATTTTAAGAAAAAGAGGATAAATAAGTATACAAGATATGATGTAGGGCGAAATGACAGTAGTTTGTTGGATTATGTGTTGGTAGATAAAAGACTGTTGAGTAGACTTCAGGATGTACATGTTTATAGAGGGGCCACAGATATATCAGATCACTTTCTAGTTGTAGCTACACTGAGAGTAAAAGGTAGATGGGATACAAGGAGAATAGAAGTATCAGGGAAGAGAGAGGTGAAGGTTTATAAACTAAAAGAGGAGGCAGTTAGGGTAAGATATAAACAGCTATTGGAGGATAGATGGGCTAATGAGAGCATAGGCAATGGGGTCGAAGAGGTATGGGGTAGGTTTAAAAATGTAGTGTTAGAGAGTTCAGCAGAAGTTTGTGGTTACAGGAAAGTGGGTGCGGGAGGGAAGAGGAGCGATTGGTGGAATGATGATGTAAAGAGAGTAGTAAGGGAGAAAAAGTTAGCATATGAGAAGTTTTTACAAAGTAGAAGTAATGCAAGGAGGGAAGAGTATATGGAGAAAAAGAGAGAGGTTAAGAGAGTGGTGAAGCAATGTAAAAAGAGAGCAAATGAGAGAGTGGGTGAGATGTTATCAACAAATTTTTTTGAAAATAAGAAAAAGTTTTGGAGTGAGATTAACAAGTTAAGAAAGCCTAGAGAACAAATGGATTTGTCAGTTAAAAATAGGAGAGGAAGTTATTAAATGGAGAGTTAGAGGTATTGGGAAGATGGAGGGAATATTTTGAGGAATTGTTAAATGTTGATGAAGATAGGGAAGCTGTGATTTCGTGTATAGGACAAGGAGGAATAACATCTTGTAGGAGTGAGGAAGAGCCAGTTGTGAGTGTGGGGGAAGTTCGTGAAGCAGTAGGTAAAATGAAAGGGGGTAAGGCAGCCGGGATTGATGGGATAAAGATAGAAATGTTAAAAGCAGGTGGGGATATAGTTTTGGAGTGGTTGGTGCAATTATTTAATAAATGTATGGAAGAGGGTAAGGTACCTAGGGATTGGCAGAGAGCATGCATAGTTCCTTTGTATAAAGGCAAAGGGGATAAAAGAGAGTGCAAAAATTATAGGGGAATAAGTCTGCTGAGTATACCTGTTAAAGTGTATGGTAGAGTTATTATTGAAAGAATTAAAAGTAAGATGGAGAATAGGATAGGAGATGAAGAAGGAGGCTTTAGGAAAGGTAGGGGGTGTGTGGACCAGGTGTTTACAGTGAAACATATAAGTGAACAGTATTTAGATAAGGCTAAAGAGGTCTTTGTGGCATTTATGGATTTGGAAAAGGCGTATGACAGGGTGGATAAGGGGGCAATGTGGCAGATGTTGCAAGTGTATGGTGTAGGAGGTAGGTTACTGAAAGCAGTGAAGAGTTTTTACGAGGATAGTGAGGCTCAAGTTAGAGTAAGTAGGAAAGAGGGAAATTTTTTCCCAGTAAAAGTAGGCCTTAGACAAGGATGTGTGATGTCACCGTGGTTGTTTAATATATTTATAGATGGGGTTGTAAGAGAAGTAAATGCGAGGGTCTTGGCAAGAGGTGTGGAGTTAAAAGATAAAGAATCACACACAAAGTGGGAGTTGTCACAGCTGCTCTTTGCTGATGACACTGTGCTCTTGGGGGATTCTGAAGAGAAGTTGCAGAGATTGGTGGATGAATTTGGTAGGGTGTGCAAAAGAAGAAAATTAAAGGTGAATACAGGAAAGAGTAAGGTTATGAGGATAACAAAAAGATTAGGTGATGAAAGATTGAATATCAGATTGGAGGGAGAGAGTATGGAGGAGGTGAATGTATTCGGATATTTGGGAGTGGACGTGTCAGCAGATGGGTCTATGAAAGATGAGGTGAATCATAGAATTGATGAGGGGAAAAGAGTGAGTGGTGCACTTAGGAGTCTGTGGAGACAAAGAACTTTGTCCTTGGAGGCAAAGAGGGGAATGTATGAGAGTATAGTTTTACCAACGCTCTTATATGGGTGTGAAGCATGGGTGATGAATGTTGCAGCGAGGAGAAGGCTGGAGGCAGTGGATATGTCATGTCTGAGAGCAATGTGTGGTGTGAATATAATGCAGAGAATTCGTAGTTTGGAAGTTAGGAGGAGGTGCGGGATTACCAAAACTGTTGTCCAGAGGGCTGAGGAAGGGTTGTTGAGGTGGTTCGGACATGTAGAGAGAATGGAGCGAAACAGAATGACTTCAAGAGTGTATCAGTCTGTAGTGGAAGGAAGGCGGGGTAGGGGTCGGCCTAGGAAAGGTTGGAGAGAGGGGGTAAAGGAGGTTTTGTGTGCGAGGGGCTTGGACTTCCAGCAGGCATGCGTGAGCGTGTTTGATAGGAGTGAATGGAGACAAATGGTTTTTAATACTTGACGTGCTGTTGGAGTGTGAGCAAAGTAACATTTATGAAGGGGTTCAGGGAAACCGGCAGGCCGGACTTGAGTCCTGGAGATGGGAAGTACAGTGCCTGCACTCTGAAGGAGGGGTGTTAATGTTGCAGTTTAAAAACTGTAGTGTAAAGCACCCTTCTGGCAAGACAGTGATGGAGTGAATGATGGTGAAAGTTTTTCTTTTTCGGGCCACCCTGCCTTGGTGGGAATCGGCCAGTGTGATAATAATAAAAAAAAAAAAAACAATGCTAGAGGTAAATTCTGTGTACTCGCTTGTAGACAGGAGTCTATTAGAATCTCAAAGTTAAATGATCTTGTATGGAATTTAACTGATAGCTCCAATACTTATTTTAGAGCCTTTTATTTGGATACAAAACCACATAATAAATACAGCAAAAGTGTGCCTTTCTTATTTAACAATGGGTAAATCTCTCTCTCGTCAGAAGAATGTACTATTAAAACATGACCTCATCAGAAATAAAAGTATTGTAACAAGCAATTCCACAAGCCTTTTCAAATTTAATTAGACTGTAATGTAAGAAATCAAAATAAGTACAGGAGATAAATTAATTTGGTAAAACATCAGGTTATATCTGACAAAATCTTGTTGAAAGTGTAAATATCCATTCAAGCAATATTCTAAAATATTTTGGAAAAATCTAATCTATCTACAGTACATTTTTTGCAGCCTTGTTGCCTCTGAGAACCAATGTCTCTCCTGACTGGGCTATCTTGTACATAATCTTCTGGAAAGATTTCTTTAAAAATCACAATCCTCAGAATAGTGAATGCTCCACTTAAAAAAAAGTCACTTATCCTATAACAGTTATCTTTCAGTAATGATGTTGGCACACATTACAGTGAGTCTTTCATAAAAATGGGGTACAAAGTTAAATTTTTTGTTTATAGTTTTATATAGAAAAATAAACCTTGGATTCATCATCATCCTTCTCAAATGATTTTTTTTTTGTTATACATTGGAATGAATAACTCATTTTTTAATGAACAATGAGTGATTAACTTTTATAGTAGAACAGTTTATCCTATAAATTATTTCAAATTCAGTTTAGCCTCTTAACCCTTTTGGTGTCGGTCCTGTAATATTATGGCTCTGAAGTTGGTTTCGGTCCCATAATACTGTACTACGCCAAAACTCGCGTCTTCAAATCTTGCGGGAGAAAGCTGGTAGGCCTACATGTGAGAGAATGGGTCTGCATAGTCAGTGCGAACAATATAAAAAAAATCACATAGCAAGCAGTGCATATCGAGGAAAAAAACAGCGACCGTGTTTTTGGTTTAAAATGGTGACTTTGTGGTGTATTTTTGTATAGTATTTATGTTTGTATTTTCATTTTCTTGATCTCATCTGATAGATTTAAGAATATAATACAGAAATAGAGATGGTTTACAGACTAAAAGTAGCAAGAAATTGAGCTCAAAGCAGTGGAAATGTTTGATTTTTGCTGATGTTCAAGAGTAAACAAACCACGTCACGCATCCAATGGATGTAAACTGATGGGTCTAATATGCATTCAGGAATGCGTGATATTATTTATACAATTATGCAGTAGTCTGAATAACAGTAAATCTTCTAAATTTTGTGTGAAGTCAAAATGAAAACCAAGTGTAATATAAGAGGGGCCTGGAGACGTAACTAATGAACAGAGAAAAATGTTATTTAAGTGCCAGGAATGTCTACATTATTTATTCTGGACACTCTGCAAGAGCGTAATTCTCCAAATTTTCCATCAAATTTCGTGCTTTTCATTTCATTACGTTTGGAAAAAGATTCTCTATCATTTCATAAGAATTTCTGGGGGGGTGGGGTAGGGGGATTTGACCCTGTGAGCAGGGGTCATGACACTCAAAGGGTTAAAACCTGTTAATTTCAAAATGTACAAGAGCAAACAGAAATTGTTCTAGCAGTGATCTAAAATGAGGTCAACATGTTTTACCAATGATCTAAGCACAAAATGACTTTGATGTTTAGCACTAGCTTTAAAGATTATAATAATAATAATACTGTAACTACCAATGACATGAAACTGAGTACTGAACACCAGTCTACTAGAAAAATATTCATATACTGTACAAGATTTTCTCAGCACATAATACCAAGGCATGAGTTACCTTGAGAAGGTTTCAAGGATCACTGTCCACATAGGCTTGGTCCCCTTATAGTGGCATGCGCTAAAATTCTGCTATGATATGCATATTTATAATACAGGCCCACATCCCTTTATCTGAAACCCTTGGGGCCAGTACTGTTTCTCATTTCAGACTTTTTCAAATTTCAGAATGATTCTCAACGCCGCCACGTGGCGGCGTTGACCGACGTTCCACACTCCACGAAAAAACTTCGGTTTTCGGAACTTTCCGAATTTCAGAATTTCGGATCAAGGGATGTGGACCTGTATAGGTATAAATAAGCTATTTATCTTGAGCATGAAAATTAATATTTCTAAACAGATTATACAGGCTTGATAAGCATGTTCCTCAACTCATCTGTACCCAAAATATGAAAGATTTCCATATGTAGACTTATCTAAACAAACCCCTTCAAAGAAGGGCATAAACTATTCATTTTATGCAAATATGAAGTGCCAGAGCATCTTTAAATAACAAATGAAACTAAAGAGAAATCACTAATATTTTTAAAGCTAAGTGGTGTCAGCTATGTTCACTACAAAGTCCAGGTAACACATCAACAGAATTCTGAAGTTATGATGCTACCCTACAAACAAAATTAGAAATGTTAACTCTGAAAAAGAAACCCTAATTTAGTTAGGGCATGTGCCAAACCATGTGAAAAGGAATTTCAAACTTTTTTATGGGGAAAAAAAAAAAAAAATTCTAACATCAAAGTTAGAAATTCACCAAGAGAATGAATAGAAGTAACATTAGTAAAATATGGCTAATTTTTAATATTAAAATGGCAAGCTGAAGGTAACAGTCCAAGAAGTTTTACCAGATTGTGGTGAAGGATGACATACAGGTATAACCATCTTACACTGAGTATAAATATAAACCAAAAAATAAAACTATATTTTTAGTATTGTCATACTAACAATGAATTCCACTGAAGGCACCCTTGCATATGCATCTAGCTATATATAAAGAAGTAAAAATATCCCTTTTCTTTTAATCTAGCATTTTTCCTTTAAATAGAATGGCAATATTTTTAGACATTTGATTTTTTTCACTTTTAACAATTTCACATTCATTAAATTTAATACTATTTCTGATGAAAAGATTTGCAATAATACCTTATGCAGTATACTTTTCAGTAAGTTCAAAGATTTGATGCATGCCTTTTTAATTAACAACTCTCCAAGAAAGTATCATACTGATGATTACTGGTTTAAAATCTGTCAGCTACTGCAAATACTATACTGTAAATATAAATTGAAAAAGATGAAAATTCTCTAGTTCAGTGACAAATCATATACAAGATATAAAACCAAATTCTTATGTAGATCACTAAGATATGAGATTAATGAGGTCAAATACAATTTATCTTTTTCAATGTAGCACCACAACACTGGACTCCATAGATGATGCATAATCCATAATGAGATCCAAATACGTACAAGAAGAAATGCAGAAAAATATTGCATTGTAAAGCTTATGCACTCATCTTGAATCTAGCTTAAAATTATCAAAGAAACATGTAAAAATTTATTACTTCTGGTGAGTATTAGCAATAATATTATAAATTTAAATTTGCCCTAGAAAATATTTCCATAATTAAGGAAATGGGAAGGGGTCGGGGTGAAATTAGCAACTTGGGAAATGATAGTCAGAATTGTTTTATTTTTTATTCAAAGCTCACAAGGGCATGAGGATTGTATTCTAAAAGTTCCCTGCAATACCAAATACCAAAAGGTGTTTTAGGTGATTATACAGGATCAAGCAAAGCCTAAATTGCAAAGGCAAAAGTAAGGCATTACATTATCTTCCAGAAATTCTGTTTTTTTCTTTTGTTTTCATTTTCTTAAAAAATAAATAACTTCCTACTTTTGCCTTTGCAATATAACAACTGGGCTTTACATGATCCTGTACAGTCACCTAAAACACTTTCAGTATTTGTAATTTTGCATGAAAGTGTCATAAGTGTTACCATAATGGAACTTCTAGAATATAACCCTCATGCCCTTCTGAACTTTCAATAAAAAATCAAGCAATTTTGACTATCATTACCCAGGATGCTAGTTTCACTCCCCCCTTAACCTTAAATACTGGAAATACTATAAAAAAAAAAGGACCCATTTTTTTCTTTATTTTATCTCTGATAGCTTCAGCCATGCTCAAGATAATTTTGAGATGTTTATTTAGAAGACAAGAATTATTTTACAACCATTTTGTACAATAACATGGGTCACATTTTCCATTCTAGATGAATGTTGAAAATTATCCAAAATATATTTATGTTTATCCTCCATGAATAAAAGTAGAAAACTGAGGAGGTAATTATAATAATGATTCCAACATTTTATAAATATTACTGTAATATTTTATACATATACTGTACTAATACTGATATAAGCCAATTTTTCTAGTCACATAAAAAAAAAATAGGAAACTGAATGACTTGCTTTAAGCAAGATCTTTGGGATAGTAATTCAGTAGTGCTCATTTGCATTATTAAATAAAGAGAACTTATCTAGTGAAAAGATTCCTCATATTCTTGAAACCTCCTACCTGTTATTCAGAACTGATGCAAAAAATGCTATGGCAGATGAAACAATTAGTAGAAGTAGTCTTCACAAATACTTCCACAAAACTGAACTAACTCTATCATAAAAATAAAATAAAACTCCACAAAAATAACCCACAATAAAAAGGTGGAAAATACTGTATCCACCAGATATTATATACACATTAGTAATATAACATTTTAATATATCCTTGAAACAATGTCTAAGAATCCTATAATTGTGGCAATAACTCAATAGGAGTAGAAAATTTGAAATCTTCTGGGAAAAGCTCTTTTGCATGAGGGTACATAAGCTTGTAGGACTGTCTTATTGTTACATCTGCAACACCTGCAATGTCACCAATTTCCTTCTGAGTTCTCTTGTCATCAGATGCCTGCCAAATACAAAAATATGATTAACACTGGATCATCCCCCCCTTTTTTTTTTACAGAACTATTTTATTTATTTATGTCCTGTCTAAGAGCAATGTGTGGTGTAAATATTATGCAGAAAATTCGGAGTGTGGAATTTAAAAGGTGTGGAGTTAATAAAAGTATTAGCCAGAGAACTGAAGAGCGGTTGTTGAGGTGATTTGGTCATTTAGAGAGAATGGATCAAAGTAGAATGACATGGAGAGCGTATAAATCTGTAGGGTAAGGAAGGCGGGGTAGAGGTCGTCCTCGAAAAGGTTGGAGGAAGGGGGTAAAGGAGGTTTTGTGGGTGAGGGGCTTAGACTTCCAGCAGGCGTGCGTGAGCGTGTTAGATTGGAGTGAATGGAGATGAATGGTATTTGGGACCTGACAAGCTGTTGGAGTGTGAGCAGGGTAATATTTAGTGAAGGTATTCAGGAAAACCGGTTAGTTTTATATAACAGGGAAGTACAGTGGACCTCCGCCTTACGATATTATTTTATCCCAGAAGTCTGTTCAGGTGCCGTTACCGACCGAATTTGTTCCCATAAGGAATATTGTGAATTAAGATTAGTCCGTTTCAGACCCCCAAAAATACATGTACCAAAGCACTGACAAAACTACACTTACATAATTGGTCGAGTTTGGAGATGATCGTAAGGCGGGGGTCCACTGTACAGTGCCTGCACTTTAAAGGAGGGGTTTGGGATATTGGCAGTTTGGAGGGATGTGATGTGTATTTTTATACGTATATGCTTCTAAACTGCTGTATTCTGAGCACCTCTGCAAAAACAGTGATTATGTTTGCATGAGGTGAAAGTGTTGAATGATGATGAAAGTATTTTCTTTTTGGGTCACCCTGCCTCAGTGGGAGATGGCCGACTTGTTGAAGAAGAAGAAGGAAGAAGAAGAAGGAAGAAGAAGAAGGAAGAAGAAGAAGGAAGAAGAAGAAGGAAGAAGAGAGGAAGAAGAAGAAGGAATGAGAAGAAGGAAGAAGAAGAAGGAAGAAGAAGAAGGAAGAAGAAGAAGGAAGAAGAAGAAGGAAGAAGAAGAAGGAAGAAGAAGAAGGAGAAGAAGAAGGAGAGAAGAAGGAAGAAGAAGAAGGAAGAAGAAGAAGAAGAAGAAGAGAGAAGAAGAAGAAGAAGAAGAAGGAAGAAGAAGAAGAAGGAAGAAGAAGAAGAAGGAAGAAGAAGAAGAAGGAAGAAGAAGAAGAAGGAAAGAAGAAGAAGGAAGAAGAAGAAGGAAGAGAAGAAGAAGAAGAAGAAGAAGAAGAAGGAAGAAGAAGAAGAAGGAAGAAGGAGAAGAAGAAGAAGAAGGAAGAAGAAGAAGAAGAAGAAGGAAAGAAGAAGAAGAAGAGAAGAAGAAGAAGAAGGAAGAAGAAGAAGAAGGAAGAAGAAGAAGAAAGAGAAAGAAGAAGAAGGAAAGAAGAAGAGAAGAAGAAGAAGAAGGAAGAGAGAAGAAGAAGAAGAAGGAAGAAGAGAAGAAGGAAGAGAAGAAGAAAGAAGAAGAGAAGAAGAAGAAGAAGAAGAAGAAGGAAGAAAAGAGAAGAAGAAGAAGAAGAAGAAGAGAAGAAGAAGAAGAAGAAGAAGAAGAAGGAAGAAGAAGAAGAAGGAAGAAGAAGAAGAAGGAAGAAGAAGAAGAAGGAAGAAGAAGAAGAAGAAGAAGGAAGAAGAAGAAGGAAGAAGAAAAAAAAAAACTATTTTATTTGCAACATGTCAGCTGTTTCTCACTGAGGCAGTGTGACCCAGAAAAGAAACACTTTCACCATCATTCACACATAATTACTGTCTTTGAAGAGATGCTCAGATATGACAGTTTAGATGTCACTCACAACAGCCAATATCCCAAACCCCTCCTTTGAAGTGCAGGCATTGTACTTCCCACCTCAAGGACTCAAGTCTGGCTAACCGGTTTCCCTGAATCTCTTCACAAAATATTACCCTGCTCAAACTCCAACAGTCTGTCAGGTTCCAAAAACCATTCGTTTCCATTCACTCTCATCTAACATCACATGTTTGCTGCATGTCCAAGCCCCTTGCACACAAAACCCTTTTACCCCTTCCCTCCATCCTTTCCTAGGATGACCTCTACCCCTCTTCCCCTCCACTACAGATTTATACACCCTCCAAGTCATCCTATTTTGCTCCATCCTCTCTAAATTACCAAACCACCTCAACAACCCCTCTTCAGCCCTCTGAATAATACTTAATTTCCACACTACAAATTCTCTGCATAATATTTACACCACACATGGTTCTTAGAAAAACTTTATAAAGCTGGGATGCTTGAATGTGCATGGATGTAGTGCAGATGACAAGAAACAGATGATTGCTGATGTTATGAATGAAAAGAAGTTGGATGTCCTGGCCCTAAGCGAAACAAAGCTGAAGGGGTTAGGGGAGTTTCGGTGGGGGGAAATAAATGGGATTAAATCTGGAGTATCTGAGAGAGTTAGAGCTAAGGAAGGGGTAACAATAATGTTGAAGGATCAGTTATGGAAGCAGAAAAGAGAATATGAATGTGTAAATTCAAGGATTATGTGGATTAAAGTAAAGGTTGGATGCAAAAAGTGGGTCATAATAAGTGTGTATGCACCTGGAGAAGAGAGGAATGTAGAGGAGAGAAAGATTTTGGGAGATGTTAAGTGAATGTATAGGAACCTTTGAACCAAGTGAGAGTAATTGTGGTAGGGGGCCTGAATGCTAAAGTAGGAGAAACTTTTAGAGAGGGTGTGGTAGGTAAGTTTGGGGTGCCAGGTGTAAATGATAATGGGAGCCCTTTGATTGAACTTTGTATAGAAAGGGGTTTAGTTATAGGTAATACATATTTAAAGAAAAAGAGGATAAATAAGTATACAAGATATGATGTAGGGCGAAATGACAGTAGTTTGTTGGATTATGTATTGGTAGATAAAAGACTGTTGAGTAGACTTCAGGATGTACATGTTTATAGAGGGGCCACAGATATATCAGATAACTTTTTAGTTGTAGCTACACTGAGAGTAAAATGTAGATGGGATACAAGGAGAATAGAAGCATCAGGGAAGAGAGAGGTGAAAGTTTATAAACTAAAAGAGGAGGCAGTTAGGGTAAGATATAAACAGCTATTGGAGGATAGATGGGCTAATGAGAGCATAGGCAATGGGGTAGATTTAAAAATGTAGCGTTAGAGTGTTCAGCAGAAGTTTGTGGTTACAGGAAAGTGGATGCGTGAGGGAAGAGGAGCGATTGGTGGAATGATGATGTAAGGAGAGTAGTAAGGGAGAAAAAGTTAGCACATGAGAAGTTTTTATAAAATAGAAGTGATGCAAGGAGGAAAGAGTATATGGAGAAAAAGAGAGAGTGTCTCAATCTTCAACTTGTCGGTTTTTCAAACCATTCATCACAACTGTCAGACACTGCAGCAGCATGGGATCTTGTTACAGAGAATTCTCCAATCTCTTCTGAAAGCTACCCAAGGTCCTAGCCTCGATCACCCTACTGGTAAGTGTGATGTTAAATAAGAACTTAAGTAGGAACACAAACAGGCCTGCTGGCCCATACTAGGCCAGTCCTTCACAAATCCAACCCACTAACAGAACAAATGCTACCCAAGCAATAAACTCAGGTGCACATCCGACTCAAATCCAACCCCTTTCACTCGTGTATTTATCCAACCTAAATTTGAAACTACCCAAGCCATAGCTTTTAGAATATTGGAAAGGAGGAACACTGCAATAAGCCTGTTGGCCCATACTAGGCCGGTCCTTCACAAATCCAACACACTAACAGAACAAATGCTACGTAAGAACATAAGAATGTAGGAACACTGCAGAAGGCCTACTGGCCCATATGAAGCAGGTCCTTATTCAAAACGACCTCTACCTAAAGCTACCCAAGAAATAACTCCCGTACCCCATGACACCAATCAAACCCAGCCCCTCCCAAGCAATAAGCTCAGGTGCAAGTCCGACTCAAATCCAACCCCTCTCACTCGTGTATTTATCCAACCTAAATTTGAAACTACCCAATGTACTATAAGTACTAGGGTTATGGGCATTCCCGAGCTTCAGAACCTTGCATTTATCTACATTGAACTGCATCTGCCACTTTTCTGACCAAGAATAGAGTTTGTTTAAATCCTCCTGAAGTTCTATAACATCTACGTTTGAATCAATTATCCTACCTATCTTTGTGTCATCAGCGAATTTGCTCATATCACTAGTAATTCCTTCATCAAGATCATTGATATATACTGTATTATAAACAATAATGGGCCCAAGACTGATCCCTGTGGAACGCCACTTGTTACAGATCCCCGCTCGGATTTAACCCCATTTATGGACACACTCTGCTTCCTGTCTGTGAGTCGTGGATTGAGTCATGGCTCACAGACAGGAAGCAGAGAGTGTCCATAAATGGGGTTAAATCCGAGTGGGGATCTGTAACAAGTGGCGTTCCACAGGGATCAGTCTTGGGCCCGTTGTTGTTTATAATATATATCAATGATCTTGATGAAGGAATTACTAGTGATATGAGCAAATTCGCCGATGACACAAAGATAGGTAGGATAATTGATTCAAACGTAGATGTTATGGAACTTCAGGAGGATTTAAACAAACTCTATTCTTGGTCAGAAAAGTGGCAGATGCAGTTCAATGTAGATAAATGCAAGGTTCTGAAGCTCGGGAATGCCCATAACCCTAGTACTTATAAGTTAAATGATGTAAAGTAAAAGGACACAAGTGCAACTAATGTGACATTTTATTGTGGCAACGTTTCGCTCTCCAGGAGCTTTATCAAGCCATTGGCTTGATAAAGCTCCTGGAGAGCAAAACGTTGCCACAATAAAATGTCACATTAGTTGCACTTGTGTCCTTTTACTTTACATATTGTCGGTAATTCTACCAACTTTATTACAAGTTAAATGATGTAGAACTTAGCCATACAGATTGCGAAAAGGACTTGGGGGTTATGGTGAGCAGCAACCTTAAACCAAGACAGCAATGCCTAAGCATACATAATAAGGCAAATAGATTACTGGGATTTATATCAAGAAGTGTAAGCAACAGAAGTCCAGAGGTCATACGGCAGCTTCATACATCATTAGTAAGGCCTCACCTAGATTATGCAGCTCAATTCTGGTCTCCATATTACAGAATGGACATAAATTCGTTAGAAAACATTCAGCGTAGGATGACTAAATTAATACATAGCATTAGAAATCTTCCTTATGAAGAAAGATTGAAGACTCTTAAGTTACATTCACTTGTTAGATGAAGAATGAGGGGAGACCTGATCGACCTGTACTTTGAGTGCTGACCTATACTTAACTCTGTGAAGAAGTGTCTTGTTTGCTCCCGTGGACTGAACCAAGATGCCCTCCATCGAACAACTTTACCAGCAACTTAAGGAAGAATTGAGGGCAGCGAAGATGGAGATACGGCGATTGACCGAGGAAAACAAGAGGATTCGTAGTAGTCCTCCTGTTTCGAGTCCTCAGGTCAAGAAGGGATCGTGGTCAGTGGCTGGACAGCAGGGGACGACGAAGTTGACGATCAAGAAGACGAATGGAAAGCCAGAAACGATGAAGAAGAAAGAGACTGCTGTGGAAACTCCCGTGGAAACCTCCAACGCATTCTCGGTGCTACCCGACGAATGTGAGTCTACTACTGGGATCGTCACGACAAACGACAACAAGGAAGTTAAGAATATTGTTGTTGTTGGGGATAGCCAGGTTAGATACATGGATAGGGCATTCTGCTTGAAGGACAGGAGTAGGAGACAAAGGGTATGCTTTCCTGGGGCTGGGATGGAGGACATTGTTAGCCGGCTTGACAACATCATGAACGGTAATGGGATCAATCCTATTATTTGCCTCAGTGCTTCACACCCATATAAGAGTGTTGGTACTACTATACTTTCATACATTCCCTTCTTTGCCTCCATAGATAACGTTTTTTGACTCCACATATACCTCAATGCACCACTCACCTTTTTTCCCTCATCAATTCTATGATTAATCTCATCCTTCATAAATCCATCCGCCGACACGTCAACTCCCAAGTATCTGAAAACATTCACTTCTTCCATACTCCTCCTCCCCAATTTGATATCCAATTTTTCTTTATCTAAATCATTTGACACTCTCATCACCTTACTCTTTTCTATGTTCACTTTCAACTTTCTACCTTTACACACATTCTCAAACTCATCCACTAACCTTTGCAATTTTTCTTTAGAATCTTCCATAAGCACAGTATCATCAGCAAAAGGTAACTGTGTCAATTCCCATTTTCAATTTGATTCCCCATAATTTAATCCCACCCCTCTCCCGAACACCCTAGCATTTACTTCTTTTAGAACCCCATCTATAAATATATTAAACAATCATTGTGACATTACACATCCCTGTCTAAGACCTACTTTTACCGGGAAGTATTCTCCCTCTCTTCTACACACCCTAACCTGAGCCTCACTATCCTCATAAAAGCTCTTTACAGCATTTAGTAACTTACCACCTATTCCATATACAGTGGACCCCCGCATAACAATCTCCTCCGAATGCGACCAATTATGTAAGTGTATTTATGTAAGTGCGTTTGTACGTGTATGTTTGGTGGTCTGAAATGGACTAATCTACTTCACAATATTCCTTATGGGAACAAATTCGGTCAGTACTGGCACCTGAACATACTTCTGAAGTGAAAAAATATCGTTAACCGGGGGTCCACTGTACTTGCAACATCTGCCACATTGCTCCTCTATCCACTCTATCATATGCCTTTTCTAAATCCATAAATGCAATAAAAACTTCCCTACCTTTATCTAAATACTGTTCACATATATGCTTCAATGTAAACACTTGATCTACACATCCCCTACCCACTCTGAAGCCTCCCTGCTCATCCGCAATCCTACATTCTGTCTTACCTCTAATTCTTTCAATTATAACCCTACCGTATACTTTTCCTGGTATACTCGGTAAACTTATTCCTCTATAATTTTTACAATCTCTTTTGTCCCCTTTCTTTATATAAAGGGACTATACATGCTCTCCGCCAATCCCTAGGTACCTTCCCCTCTTTCATACATTTATTAAACAAAAGTACCAACCACTCCAACACTATATCCCCCCCTGCTTTTAACATTTCTGTCATGATCCCATCAGTTCCAGCTGCTTTACCCCCTTTCATTCTACGTAATGCCTCACGTACCTCCACCACACTTACATTCTGCTCTTCTTCACTCCTAAAAGATGGTATACCTCCCTGGTCAGTGCATGAAATTACCGCCTCCCTTTCTTCCTCAACATTTAAAAGTTCCTCAAAATATTCTCGCCATCTACCTAATACCTCCCTCTCCCCATCTACTAACTTGCCTACTCTGTTTATAACTGACAAATCCATACTTTCCCTAGGCTTTCTTAACTTGTTTAACTCACTCCAAAATTTTTTCTTATTTTCATTAAAATTTCTTGACAGTGCCTCTCCCACTCTTTCATCTGCTCTCCTTTTGCACTCTCTCACCACTCTCTTCACCTTTCTTTTACTCTCCATATACTCTGCTCTTCTTAAAACACTTCTGCTTTGTAAAAACCTCTCGTAAGCTACCTTTTTCTCTTTTATCACACCCTTTACTTCATCATTCCACCAATCACTCCTCTTTCCTCCTGCCCCCACTCTCCTATAACCACAAACTTCTGCCCCACATTCTAATACCGCATTTTTAAAACTATTCCAACCCTCTTCAACCCCCCACTACTCATCTTTGCACTAGCCCACCTTTCTGCCAATAGTCGCTTATATCTCGCCCGAACTTCCTCCTCCCTTAGTTTATACACTTTCACCTCCCTCTTACTTGTTGTTGCCACCTTCCTATTTTCCCATCTACCTCTTACTCTAACTGTAGCTACAACTAAATAATGATCCGATATATCAGTTGCCCCTCTATAACATGTACATCCTGGAGCCTACCCATCAACCTTTTATCCACTAATACATAATCTAACAAACTACTTTCATTACGTGCTACATCATACCTTGTATATTTATTTATCCTCTTTTTCATAAAATATGTATTACTTATTACCAAATTTCTTTCTACACATAGCTCAATTAAAGGCTTCCCATTTACATTTACCCCTGGCACCCCAAATTTACCTACTACTCCCTCCATAACATTTTTACCCACTTTAGCATTGAAATCCCCAACCACCATTACTCTCACACTTTGATTCAAAACTCCCCACGCATTCACTCAACATTTCCCAGAATCTCTCTCTCCTCTACACTTCTCTCTTCTCCAGGTGCATACATGCTTACTATAACCCACTTTTCACATCCAATCTTTATTTTACTCCACATAATCCTCGAATTTATACATTTGTAGTCCCTCTTTTCCTGCCATAGCTTATCCTTCAACATTATTGCTACTACTCCTTTAGCTCTAACTCTATTTGAAACCCCTGACCTAATCCCATTTATTCCTCTCCATTGAAACTCTCCCACCCCCTTCAGCTTTGTTTCACTTAAAGCCAGGACATCCAGTTTCTTCTCATTCATAACATCCACAATCATCTCTTTCTTATCATTTGCACAACATCCACGCACATTCAGACTTCCCACTTTGACAATTTTCTTCTTATTCTTTTTAGTAATCTTTACAGGAAAAGGGGTTACTAGCCCATTGTTCCCGGCATTTAGTTGACTTTTACAACACGCATGGCTTACGGAGGAAAGATTCTTATTCCACTTCCCCATGGATATCAAAGGAAAAGTAATAAGACCAAGAACTATTAAGATAAAATCAAAGAAAACTCAGATGAGTGTGTATAAATAAACGTGTACATGTATGTGTAGTGTGACCTAAGTGTAAGTAGAAGTAGCAAGACATGCCTGTAATCTTGCATATTTATGAGACAGACAAAAGACACCAGCAATCCTACCATCATGTAAAACAATTACAGGCTTTCGTTTTACACTCACTTGGCAGGACGGTAGTACCTCCCTGGGTGGTTGCTGTCTACCAACCTAAATACTTTCACTAAATATTACCCTGCTCACACTCCAACAAGCTTGTCAGGTCCCAAATACCATTCATCTCCATTCACTCCTATCTAACACGCACACACATGCTTGCTGGAAGCCCAAGCCCCTCGCCCACAAAACTTCCTTTACCCCGTCCCTCCAACCTTTCCGAGGACAACCCCTATCCTGCCTTCCTTCCCCTACAGATTTATACGCTCTCCATGTCATTCTACTTTGATCCATTGTCTCTAAATGACCAAACCACCTCAACAACCCCTCTTCAGCCCTCTGACTAGTACTCTTATTAACTCCTTTCTTATTAACTCATTTTCTCAAGGTTATATAATTAAATCTTAGTAACTTTTTGAAAACATTTTTGAAAATAATTTGAGCCATCTCTTGTAGAGCAAAGTTTTGTTATATGGGTAAATCATGACACAAAGATTTATTTTTTGGCATATGTCAATACATACTTGTGAGGCCATATATATTGCAGCAGCTGCAACAGAAATAGGTGATCTTCCTGGAACAATATCAAGATCAACAGCCTTTCTTGCAATGTGAGTTGCTGCCTTTTGTGCAGAGGTGGGTAGCCCAAGATTTGAGCAGAATCTTGACATAAAGTCCCCTGTGGTAATAAGATCCACTTGTGTTTCTAAAGCTTTCAAGATGAGTTTGAAGCACCGGCCTATTTCTTTCTTGCTGATCTTACTTACAGCACAAATCTCCTAAAATTTAAGAGAATGGTTAACTGGTAGATCATTTTATTATAATTGTATTGAAAAACATACAATTAAAATTTATTTACCACTGGTTCATGCTACTGAAATTTATGAGTTAACCCATTCTTGGCTTCAGAGAGCGAGAGAACAGCAGATTAAATGAGACTGGTAAATGTATTTTTCACACATAGCTCTACTTGGTAAGCAATAGGAATTGGTATTCTCATGCAATACAAATTATCACACGAGTTCTTTGAACCCAAACACTTTACAATATGTCATCATTAGCTACAAGGCAGTGCTTTACACACATCATCCTTTCTATTAGACTTTATCCCCTTTGTTTTGTAGAAAAGGATCTATTCGTACTCAAATACTGTCTCAATATCCTTACTTTAATTCTACATTCTTAAAATTTATAAAAAGTAATATACTTTATGCACATTTAACCAACTTTGAGTTATTCTACTGCTGAAGCTTTGCCCAAGGTTAGACTTCATTGCTGAATGCCTGGTCAACTAGGCTGTTGCTGCCAGTGGCCTGTAGGCCTACATATCTTTTACTGAACAAAAATAAGAAGAATTACTGTAGATGATAAAAAAAAGTCATTTGCAGTACAAATTATACAAACATTTACCTTAAAGGTCCTTGGAACACCCTCCTGTCGACAAGCAATATACAGAGATGCAGAAGCAATGGCATCATTACTACGGCCCTTAAGGTTTTTTCCATCGTGAACCTGTGGGACACAATTTTTTTTTAAGTATCTGTAACTGGATACATTAACAATAGTTTGTACATAATTGGTTGCTTCATATTTTTTAACACATGGGTCATTTCCCATTAAGGAACAGTAAAAAACATGCACCATCACTCATTCCCTTGTTCTTTCCAGAAGTGCACATACATTACAATTTAAATGAAGAATTGCCCATAGTAAGAACAAACTCAACATCTTAATTATGATAAAATATGCCTTAAAACAATACAATACTTATGCAGAACCTGTACAGAATAAAAGCTTAAGGAGAGTGAAAAATAAAAACATCATTTTACTTTTCACTTGCATAACTGGGCACTGTGCACTGTTTACAAAAGTTTAGATGCCAAGTTTAACCTTGCTATTCAAAGCCTAAATTTTTATGGGCACATTAGAAGTGATTATCAACATCAAAATGTCAAATAAAAAATTATTATCTATTGTCAAAATGTCAAATTAGATGTGATTATATAATTTTCACTTAAATACATAAAGGGCTTACCAGAAAATCAGAAAAAATATATATGCAGAATCCTTTCTGCCTAAGACCACCTAAAACATTGTTGGGGCTTCAAGAATGTGTTTAGTGAATTTGGCATAGATGTGTTTGTTACTGTACTGCTGTAGGAGGCTCAGTTTTTATTTACTACAGCATTGAAAAAAAACAAAGACCCCACCAATGAAAATAAATTAAATACATGGTTATTCAGATACTACACTACCCAGTTTTAAAAAGCTTCAGTATATAAATACATTAGGTTCCCCACTCACAACGTTAATGCATTCCTGAATGTTTTTCTTTTCTTCGTAAAGGCAAATGTTTGAAAGTTGGAACCTATTTTCCCAAATACGGGACACCTAAGTTATGTATACGTCAATTCATCTTTAACAATCAAATTAGAAAACAATAAACAGTATTCAGGAGCATCCTTTTCACCTCCCCCTTCTTACCTCTCCCCCCCCCCCATCTTTTCCATTGTAAGTGAAAACACTTTACACTCGTTATCCACCCCCCTACTGTATTCCAATCCCACACAATACAGCCTCTCCTCACTTAGCAATGTACGTACTCGTTTACCGACAACTCAGAGTTCCAACAGGCTCTCTGGCCAGTATGCAAACCTAAATAATGTATATTAGAGCTGATTTCCTCTATTCTGTTTATTACAATATACAGTACACTACTGTATAAACATTTAATAATATACTAAAAATGTTATAAATGGTGCAAAGGTGACATTAAAACAATATCAAAGATGGAGAAACTGTATTTTGCTGAAAAATAATAAATATATTTTAGCTATAATCAAAATCAAAATTAATGAATCTACAGCAATTTTCATCTAACAAACAAACATGAACTCTCCACATACTTATAAAAGAACCTAGGTAAAATGTGAATTAATCTGGTAAATAAAATAGCCTATAATTTTTTTACTGAAAATAAATCTGTAGTAGAGGGAAGGTAGGGTAGGGGTCACCCTAGAAAAAGTTGGAGGGTCTTGTGTGCAAGAGGCTTGGACATCTAGCAGGCATGTGTGAGCATATTAGATAGGAATGGAGGTAAATGGCTTTTGGGACTTGACAAGCTGTTGGAATGTGAGCAAGGTAACATTTTGTGAAGGGATTCAGGAAAACTGGCCAGTAAACCTGAGTCTGGGAGGTGTGAAGTACCAGTGTTTGCACTCTGAGGTAAGGGTGGGGATAGCTGCAGCTTGGAGGGACATCTGAACTGTAATGCTGGCACACCTCTAGCAAGACTGTGATAAGTGAGTGATGGTGAAAATGTTTCTTATTTTTTGGGGGGTAACCCTACCTTGGTGGGAAATGGCTGGAGAGTTAATTTTTTTTTTTTAATATATGCAATGATTGTAAATGCAGCTCAGCACTATTAAGTCATAATTTGGCTCCAAAGTGGCCCAGTTGTAAGTGAAGAACATCATACAACAGAGACTTATTGCATAAGTGTTTTAAGTTTCAAGTTGTTTAACAACAAGCTTTTAAACCCTCATGATTATATATTAGGAGAAGTCTTGCCCACCAGGGCAATATCAATCGAATGAATTGATAAAGACCCATGTGAATGAACTTTTTATCAATGGGAAGCACTAAATCAGTTGGGGTCATTTAATGCCCAAGGAATGGGATATTATCAGATTTGATCCAAGGAAAGAGAAGTTAAGTTGTTCCTTGGAGCAAGAGTACCTCCCTTACCAGCATCAACCCTGGAAATGTCCCAGTGGGTAAAATTTCTCCTGAAAAGATGTCCTAAGTGTTATATGTGTTTCTTTATCTTCATAGTTTATCAGTATTGATATACCTGGTTATTTACTTAAAAAAAAAAAAGCCAGCAAACAGGGATAACATTTTAGAGATTTTTTTTTTTTTTTTTTTAACAAGTCGGCCGTCTCCCACCGAGGCAGGGTGACCCAAAAAAGAAAGAAAATCCCCAAAAAGAAAATACTTTCATCATCATTCAACACTTTCACCACACTCGCACATTATCACTGTTTTTGCAGAGGTGCTCAGAATACAACAGTCTAGAAGCATACACATATAAAGATACACAACATATCCCTCCAAACTGCCAATAATCCAAACCCCTCCTTTAAAGTGCAGGCATTGTACTTCCCATTTCCAGGACTCAAGTCCGACTATATGAAAATAACCGGTTTCCCTGAATCCCTTCACTAAATATTACCCTGCTCACACTCCAACAGATCGTCAGGTCCCAAGTACCATTCGTCTCCACTCACTCCTATCTAACACGCTCACGCACGCTTGCTGGAAGTCCAAGCCCCTTACCCACAAAACCTCCTTTACCCCCTCTCTCCAACCCTTTCGAGGACGACCCCTACCTCGCCTTCCTTCCCCTATAGATTTATATGCTTTCCATGTCATTCTACTTTGATCCATTCTCTCTAAATGACCAAACCACCTCAACAACCCCTCTTCTGCCCTCTGACTAATACTTTTATTAACTCCACACCTTCTCCTAATTTCCACACTCCGAATTTTCTGCATAATATTTACACCACACATTGCCCTTAAACAGGACATCTCCACCGCCTCCAACCGTCTCCTCGCTGCTGCATTTTAGAGATAATGTACTTAATTTCTTTTACTACACTGGCTGGCTTGCACCAAGTTACCATGACTCAATGAATGATGGTACATGTTTCCTTTTTTGGGAACACTTTGGGATATTTAATGACAAAACAAACTATACTTTCCACTCACTTGTTTGAATAAAACATTTGCTCTATCAACAATGGTCTTCGGCAGGTTGATTTTATCAGCCATGTTGCTAATTTCCCGAAAAGCATTGATAAGGGCTCTGTCTGAACTGCTCATCTGAAAAAAATTTAAATGCAATTAAATGTTGTAGTTATTTGAACAATATGTATATCAACTAGAAGCAAACTTGCACAGTGTTGTTACCACAAAATTTTTAATTAAAAAGAAATATCTGGTATTTGTGAGTGTGCATAAAGGTAGAAAGTGAACACAGAAAAGAGTAAGGTGATGAGGGAATCAAATGATTTAGATAAAGAAAAATTAGATATCAAATTGGGGAGGAGGAGTATGGAAGAAGTGAATGTTTTCAGATATGTACTTGGGAGTTGACGTATCGGCGAATGGATTTATGAAGGATGAGGTTAATCATAGAATTGATGAGGGAAAAAAGGTGAGTGGTGCGTTGAGGTATATGTGGAGACAAAAAACGTTATCTATGGAGGCAAAGAAGGGAATGTATGAAAGTATAGTAGTACCAACACTCTTATATGGGTGTGAAGCTTGTGTTGTAAATGTTGCAGCGAGGAGGCGGTTGGAGGCAGTGGAGATGTCCTGTCTAAGTTCAATGTGTGGTGTAAATATTATGCAGAAAATTCAGTGTGTGGAAATTAGGAGAAGGTGTGGAGTTAATAAAAGTATTAGTCAGAGGGCTGAAGAGGGGTTGTTGAGGTGGTTTGGTCATTTAGAGACAATGGATCAAAGTAGAATGACATGGAGAGCGTATAAATCTGTAGGGGAAGGAAGGCGGGGTAGGGGTCGTCCTCGAAAAGGTTAGAGAGAGGGGGTAAAGGAGGTGTTGTGGGCGAGGGGTTTGGACTTCCAGCAAGCATGTGTGAGCGTGTTAGATAGGAGTGAATGGAGACAAATGGTATTTGGGACCTGACGATCTGTTGGAGTGTGAGCAGGGTAATGTTTAGTGAAGGGATTCAGGGAAACCAGTTATTTTATATAACTGGACTCGAGTCCTGGAAATGGGAAGTACAATGCCTGCACTCTAAAGGAGGGGTTCAGGATATTGGCAGTTTGGAGGGTTATATTGTATATCTTTATACGTATATACTTCTAAACTGTTGTATTCTGGGCACCTCTGCAAAAACAGTGATTATATGTGAATGAGGTGAAAGAGTTGAATGATGATGAAAGTATTTTCTTTTTGGGGATTTTCTTTCTTTTTTTGGGTCACCCTGCCTCGGTGGGAGACGGCTGACTTGTTAAAAAAAAAAAAATGCATGTGTAGTGTGACCTACGTGTAAGTAGAAGTAGAAAGACGTACCTGAAACCTTGCATGTTTATGAGACAGAAAACACACACCAGCAACCCTACCATCATGTAAAACAATTACAGGCTTCCATTTTACACTCACTGGGCAGGATGGTAGTGCCTCTCTGGGCAGTTGCTGTCTACAAACCTATTACCTAGGCTAGGCAGAAATACACTATGTCAAACAAAACCTGTCTTTCATCCAATTCTGCCCCTGCTCTTCTTTGTCTTCCATAAACTCTCATTCATAATTGATAACATATCCTATGCCTTTACATTTGTACTGTAATCTAAGTAACTCGCTGTATCTTCACCATCTCTATTTAATCACTCCAAAAACTGAAGATTAATGAACCAGTTTAAAGAATACGTAACTTTTAATTGACCATTTGTCATTAGATACCCTTCTTATTGTAATTATGATTGTAATTAGCTACACAAGAAGTCTTACATAATAGGCTATGTCTAGTTCTTAAGTAGCAAGTAAGCTGTATGATTAGTTGACTGAAATGTACTGCAAAATTAGTGGCTTTCTTCTGTGCCTACTACTGTACTAATACATTTATCTACATTACAGTGGACCCCTGTTTTACGATATTAATCCGTTCATGAGCTCATCGTAAGCCGAAATTATCATATGGGGAATTAATTTTCCCCATAAGAAATAATGGAAATCAAATTAATGTGTGCAAGACACCACAAAGTATGAAAAAAAAATTTTTTACCACATGAAATATTAATTTTAATCCACACAAACTTAAGAAGACATGCACAATTAATACTCTACTAAGAATAAAATATATGACACTTGCCTTTATTGAAGATCTGGTGATGATTGATGGGATGGGAGGAGGGGACAGTGTGGAAGTTGTTATTGTTTAAAAGGGGAATCCCCTTCCATTAGGACTTGAGGTATCGACTCCTTTTCTGGGGTTTCTTCCCTTCTTCTTTTAATGCCACTAGGACCAGCTTGAGTCACTGGACCTTTGTCACACAACAGATCTGTCCATAGAGCTCTGTACCTCCCGTTCCTTTAAGATTTGCCTAAAATGGGCCACAACATTGTCACTGGAATAGTCATCAGCACAGCTTGCAATAGCTGTGTTAGGGTTCTTTTCATCCATGAAGGTTTGCAGTTCAACCCACTTTGCGCACATTTCCTTAATCCTTGAAGTAGGCATAATGGATTCCAGAAATGGCATAGGCTTCTCAGGGTTAGCCCCAAACCCTTCAAACTCTTTCTTAATTTCCATACTAATTCTCACCCTTTTTACCACAGGGTTGGCATTAGAAGCTTTCTTGGGGCCCATGGTGACTTATTTTGCAGTTACAAGCACAAAAAACACTGGGATAAGGTGAAATGTACTGTATGTATGCGTGGATGCGACCGCACTGGCTGGCTTGTAAACACAGGTGCTGAGGCCACATGTGGGACACGTCCCGGACGAATCCCGTGAGGTGAGTTTTTTAGCGTGAGGCGAGGCAAAATTTTTGCATTCAAATGTATCGTATGGCGGATTTAATGTAACGCGATGCCATCGTAAGGTGGGGGTCCACTGTATTTGTATAGCTCGAAGAAATAAGCATTATCATTATTTAACCCTTTCAGGGTCCAAGGCCCAAATCTGGAGTCACGTACCAGTGTCCAAGAATTTAAAAAAAAAAATTTGTTATTTTTTCTTGTGAAATCGTAGAGAATCTTTTTGTGAAGGTAATAAAAAAAAAGTACGAAATTTGGTGGAAAATTGATGAAATTATGCTCTCGCGAATTTTGATGTGTCAGCGATATTTACGAATCGGCGATTTTGCCGACTTTGACTCCCATTTTAGGCCAATTACATTATTCCAATCAACCAAATTCTTAGCTATTTCACTAGTATTACTTCTATTCTATCGATTGAGCACAAGAAATCGCCAAGTCAACTGTTTCAACTACAAAATAAAGTGATCGGAAATTGTTAATTTGGCCAATTTAACACAAAGTTCAAAATATTCCAATTTCAAAATAGGGTCCAGAATAAACAATGTAGGCATTCCTGCCACTAAACTAACATTTCCTCTGTTCATTAGTTATGTTTTGAGGCTTTACAAATAAATTCCATTTTTATTTTTTATTCACATAATGAATTTTTATTCACACCAAAAAATAGAAGATTTACTGTTATGCAATACTGTAATAATTGTATAAATATCATCACCATATTTGTGAATGTATATTAGACCCACCAGCTGACGTGTATTAGACGTGTGAGGTCGTTTGTTTACTCTTGAATATCGGCAAAAATTTAACATTTCCGCTACTTTGAGCTCAGTTTCAAGCCATTTCCAGTGCTAAAACCAATAAAAATCATCTCTATTTCTGTAATATGTCTTCCATTCTATCAAATGAGATCAAGAAATCGCAAATACAACTATAAAAAACATACGAAAAAACACTGCAAAGTTGCTGTTTTAATCAAAAAATCATGATTTAAGTTTTTTTCTCTCATTATACACAGTGTGCTGCAGGATCTGTTTTATGTGGTGCACACATACCACATAGATGTATTCTCTCATATCTAGGCCCAAATGTACCACTCACAGTTTATCAGAGTGAGCTGAGCTCATGGCGTAGATCTACGGTTTGGACCCTGAACGTAAAGCCGTAGATCTACGGGACGGACCCTGAAAGGGTTAAAAGCTTTGTAGGGATTCTGTCTTTAACCCTTAAACTCTCCAAATGTAGATCTACGTTGGCTGAAAACAAGAGGAACTGACAAGAAAAATGACAAATTAACCAAATGTCATTTTGGAGATCACTGACAAATGACTGCAAACAATTTTGATCAAACTGGTTTAATTTTAAAACTGATGAACATTTGTAAATAGAAAATGCACTATTTGCTCACTGGCAAGTTTGTCGGTTTTCTTCTCAGCACTTCATATGAAACAATTGGGAATACATATTAAGAGTGAAATACTTACTGATCTTCGATTTTGATATTTTGTGCCCCCAAAACCATCAAAAGATGCACTACCAGTTCCTGGTCCAATAATTGTAGAGAGATCTGAACCATTGAGAAGAGGGTTTTCTGGTCCACCAACTCGAGAGGGATCACTGTTGGCTTTCTCATTACTAAAAGTGCGCCATTCAGATCCCACATCTATTACTCTGAAATTTAAAACATTTATTACTATTCAATTTAACAGATCAAGCTGAAATTAGCTTTAAATAAAGCAACTTGTATCCACATATGAAACTATTCTCTGAAATGGAGAGATAAGATGCCTACAAAAACAATGACATTAACAACAATAACAACAGCAGGAGTGATTTTACCATGATGTTTTGCTCTGTATACACAATTTTTTTTTTACCCCACCAGCTGTCTCCCACCAAGGTAGGGTGACTAGAAAAAGAAAAACTTTACTAGTTTTTCTCTTTACATTTAGTAATTTATGCAGAAGAGGTTGCTAGCCCCTTGCTCTCGGCATTTTAGTTGCCTTTAAAGACATACATGTACGTGGCTTATAGAGGAAGGATTCTTTTCCACTTCCCCATGTCATAATAAAAACGTGTTCTACGCCTGTCTTTTCTTCATTACTGTTACCTGGATTTACCTGGAGAGAGTTCTGGGGGTCAATGCCCCCACAGCCTGGTCTGTGACCAGGCCTCATGGTGGATCAGAGCCTGATCAACCAGGCTGTTACTACTGGCTGCACGCAATCCAACGTACGAGCCACAGCCTGGCTGGTCAGGTACCAACTTTAGGTGCTTGTCCAGTGCCTGCTTGAAGACAGCCAGGGGTCTATTAGTAATCCCCCTTATGTATGCTGGGAAGCAGTTGAACAGTCTCGGGCCCCTGACGTTTATTGTGTTGTCTCTTAACGTGCTAGTGACACCGCTGCTTTTCATTGGGGGGAATGTTGCATCGTCTGCCAAGTTAGAAGTATGCCTTTGTATCCAATAGGATTAATATACAGTTTGCACTCATTAAGCAGGGGAGATTCATGTCTCAACTGATTTACCAAGAAATTCTCCGTATCTTAACCTTTTTGGTGTCGGTCCCATTATATTACGACTTTGAAGCCAGTGTCGGTCCTGTAGTACTACTCTATGAGCTCAGCTCACCCAGATAAGTTGAGTGGTAAATTTGGGCCTAGATAAGAAAAAGGCAACAATTCTGACATGATCCTTTAGTTGTAGGAACACATGTTATGGCTCATACCAGCATGAGTAAAAATATGCGGTTTACTCAAACAATTGTCAAGATGTCACAAAGTCTAAACCACAAGTTTATCTAAATCCTGTCCTTATTAGTTTTGCACAGTAATAACAGGATTTCTGATGAATGCACTTGTCACTACTGCTGTTCCATCTGCAATTTCTAAGTGTATGGATAGAAGGTTCTGAGCTTTTCTGACAAGCAAGGAACTGAGCTGTAGCTGATCCATAACTGTGGATGTGCAACTTTGCCCAGGGATGGTATAAGAGATCCTCTACTTGCATCCAACCTGATGTTAGTATATAGTAATTCAGATCAAAAACCTGCCCATGTCATGGACAGTAAGTTGAATAACTCAATTGTTTGCACTTTGAGTAATGTATCCTTTAAGTCTTCAGCTGCTTTTTTGGTTACTAATGGAAGGATTCCTGTAAGTGTTTTATGCAACACCATCATGGAAAAGTTCTGAGGCATGAAATATTTATTCTGGGAAGGGTTCCATGAACTAGTGTCTCACCTCCCACTAACAGGCTATTACCTGATGGTGCTAGGAGACTAAGTAGTGTCTGATGTTAGCACCAGAGATAATACTAGTGTACCTGCACAAGGGAAAGGATAAAACAAATGATTGTACTAGGTGCTAAAGTGTTTTAATTCCCAATTACTAGCTTTAAAACTTAAACTGACAGGGCACTGTTCCTATAAACTGCAGTTTTGTGACCCAATCAGATGACTTGTCATGCTGATGAGTAAAGCACACTGTTTTCCCATCAGACTCGTACTGAGCCTTGGGGAATGTGAGGTACACAGAGTCAATTCAAGGAATGGGTGATAAATCTAAAAGGACCTGGGAAGAGCAGCTACAACCACTGCTACATCAGACTCCAACAGCCATGTTTTGGTCAAGTATAAAATATCAAAAGAAAACTCATTTAGAACTTAAATAACATGTATGATTCTAATTTTAATTCTTATTAAGCATATAATCCAACAGCAACATTGTCTACTGGGATACTGATTTTGATCCACAGTGTTCACTTAACAGTTGCTAATCCAGATATCAAGAGCCTTCCAAACTTGCCTCTCCTACCTTCATTTTGCTTCCCTAATTCTCTTCCTAACAATGTCAAGAAAAGACTAAGAGAGACAACAAGGTCTTGCAGCCTTGAGGTTAGATAATTTCTCTTCCATCTGTTGCAGCTTTATAGCAAAATCATTCAAAATATTATAAACATCATTTACTGCACTAACCACTGCAACAATGAAGACAAATTTCACATAATCAGCTATGGAAAACTTGAATTAATAAAAACTGGATCAGAGTATAAAACAAATTCCAACCACACAAAAAAGTGAAAAACTAATGTGAGGGACCTGGGAGTGGTAATGTCTGAGAATCTCACTTTCAAAGATCACAACAATACGTATATCTACCACATCTGCTAGGAAAATGATAAGATGGTAATTGAGAACCTTTAAAACTAGGGCTGCCAAGCCAATGATGATTCTCTTCAAAATCACTTGTTCTCTCTAGGATGGAATGTTGCTGTACACTAATGGTCCCTTTCAAGGCAGGCAAAATTGCAGACCTAGAGAATATGGAGAGAACTTTCACCGTGCGTAAGTACCATAAAGCACCTAAATAACTGGAAACGCTTAAGTCCTTGACCTACACTTCTTGGAACGCAAGTGAGAAAGATATATGATAATTTTTTTTTTTTTTCAACAAGTCGGCCGTCTCCCACCGAAGCAGGGTGACCCAAAAAAGAAAGAAAATCCCAAAAAAGAAAATGCTTTCATCATTCAACACTTTCACCACACTCACACATAATCACTGTTTTTGCAGAGGTGCTCAGAATACAACAGTTTAGAAGCATATACGTATAAAGATACACAACATATCCCTCCAAACTGCCAATATCCCAAACCCCTCCTTTAAAGTGCAGGCATTGTACTTCCCATTTCCAGGACTCAAGTCCGACTATATGAAAATAACCGGTTTCCCTGAATCCCTTCACTAAATATTACCCTGCTCACAATCCAACAGATCTTAAATCTTAAATCTTAAGAGGGACTAGTCACAAATCTTCACACGGAAATCACTCCCTACAAAAGCAGAAGACTTGGAAGATGGTGCAACATCCCCTGAATGAAAAGCAGTGGTGCCATGAGTATGCTAAGAAACAATCAATAAGTGTCAGGGGGGCCAAGACTGTTGAACTACCTCCTAGTACGTATACATAGGAGGGATTACCAAAAGACCCCTGGCTGTCTTCAAGAGGGAGCTGGACATACACTTAAAGTCAGTACCTGACCAGCTGGGCTGCGGTTTGCGTGCGGCCAGCAATACGAGCCTGGCTGATCAGGCCCTGATCCACCAAGAGGCCTGGTCATGGACCGGGCCTCTAGGGCATTGACCCTCAGAATACCCATGGTATACAAAGAAACACTTGCCACCAATGCCTCCTAACAGTCAGAACTCGTCCTCTCGTGAACATCTGATGCAAACACATCCACTGCAATTGCCAAAAACCAAAACTACGATGCCAGCTCATATAATTATAACCATCTAAATCTGCAGAGGCAGTGTGAAACCATTCACTATAATAGGAACATTTAATTGCTTCAGTATTCTTTCCACCTTTAGCCTCACACACAGGATACCCATCCTTAACTTCTGCAAGCAGTTTATATCACTGGCACATTCATGCTGCTGTTGCTGAAGAGTTTTCATTTTTCCAAACCCTAACACACCATAAAATCACAAGTTTATACAAGATTCTGCTGATTTTAGACTTATTCGATTTGATAAATTAGACACATGTGCAACTCTTGGGTATCTTTATTGAGGAAACATTTTGCCACACAGTGGCTTCATTAGCCCATACAAAGGAGAAACGTGAAGAACAAGAGGAGAATGAGGTAATCAGTCCCTCAGCCTTGAGTCAATGTGGTCAGTCCATCAATCTTGAATAGAATACAGCATATGTGCGGAGAAGTAGCTTACAAACCGTAGGCAGGAAAGGTGCAGCAGTCGTAGGTGGTGTCACATTTGTCCAATGTGGAAGTAGGTCGTGCCCAAGGGTTAGGCAAGCAAAGAATTCCCAAGTGTTAAGATCCCAAGAAGTTGCAGTGCCTGACAGGATTGTAGATGAATGGTTCAGAGAACCAACACATTGATAAATTAGACACATGTGCAACTCTTGGGTATCTTTATTGAGATAACATTTTGCCACACAGTGGCTTCATCAGTCCATACAAAGGAGAAACGTGAAGAACAGGAGGAGAATGAGGTAATCAGTCCCTCAACCTTGAGTCAATGTGGTCAGTCCATCAATCTTGAATAGAATACGGCATATGTATGGAGTAGCTTATAAACCATAGGCAGGAGAGGTGCAGCAGTCGTAGGTGGTGTCACATTTGTCCAATGGGGAAAGTACTTTTTATAAGCTATTTCCCCTTTCCGCAGAACTTCTCCGGGCTGAGGACTGAAAAACCCCTCAAATTTATGACTTTAAGGGTGATGGACTGATTACATCGCCTTCACATCTCTACTGCTCCTGCCTACTTTCTGTACTCAACTGATGAAGCCTACTGTGTAGGCGAAATTTTTTTCGGAATAAATTTGGGCCAAATGTTCCCAAAATGTGTTTTACCAAAAAACCCAGGCAACTGGATCCATGGTGTTGGACTAGTTTACAATTCAACAAAGTGCCTTTCTATGAAATTCTATGCAAAGAAAATGGGCTTCAAGTTTTTCAAGGGATTTTGAAGCTGAAGGCATGTCTACTTACACAATGTTCATTATTGCACAGGAATAACGAACATGGCTGCAGGTTGCTGAAATTTTCACGAGCCTTCCTAGGGCCCAAAGCATTATTACGCATATCATGAATTAAAATTTTTCCCCAAAAGTTGGTATGACTAATGCTAACCTTCAGTAAAATTTTATTAAATTGGAGTGTCAGGAGGGCCCCCCGGGTCCACTTGACATAAATGATTATTTTATAAAAATACATTTCATTTTAAAAAGATTTCTTTTTTTCTTAAAAAACCTTGCCCCACACACGGGAATTTTTGTTTTCTGGGTATCCACATTAAGGGTTACAAAATATATCTTTAAATTTTATAACGCAAAATTTTCCCCAAAGAGGCCTATACCAAATTCAAGGTAGGTTTTTTATTTAGTCAGCATAATTTTTTTTATTTTTTAGCAAAAAAGGAAAAGGGAAAATACAGGAGGGGCATTTTTTTACAGCATTTTGTTTTAAAGGTTTTTCCCTTTATACAGCATTTTTAACTATACCCATTCTTTATTTACAACTTCCAACGTAAATATACTCACCACCCCCTATAAGTAAGACAAAAATATTTTAAGGTATAATTTTGGCACTGTATATGCCTTTTTTAGGCTTCTCATACTCACTTAAACATGAAGTGTAAACATTTAATCAAGCTTTTATATGCATTTGAAAGTAAAAAAAAGGTTGATTCATTGTTCGTGATTTTTTTTTTAAGCATAGCCCAGAACCAAACCTGCTGATATGCGAGGTCAGTGGAAATAAGGTGAAAAACCAAGTCCATCACTGTTTCTAGTTGTGCAAACCCTAACGGGGAAATTTGCAAGTGGCATAAGGCTGTAGCCCAGTCCATCATGTTATATTTTGCTGGAACCCCTTATTTAAGACTCACCGTCCCCTACCCAACCACACTCAGAACATATCTGATCCCCTGCTCGATAATCTTCAATAAGATGAGCTTCAGGTGTTGTGGGCGATACCTCATTTAAAACTTGCTCTGTAAAATTTAATCTATTTAATTGTGAAATCCCTATACAATGTTTTATATTTTCCATAACGTGATATACAAGGTGCAACAAACACTACAAAATATAAATACATTACCCAAAAATACATATGAAATATAACTTTAAAACAAATAAACCCTTTTTTTAAAATGATTTTGGATATGGGGAAATAAACCCACCTGGTTTATTTGATTTAAAAAAGAAAAAGTCCGTTAATTTACACAATTACCCCATTCCCGTTACAATTATAGAAAAAACAAATTCATTCCTATTCCCACAATTCCCTTACGGCCCCCCACTCCCCATTGGTTCATTAAATTGAGGCCATCACCCACTCAATGCATTAAATTTTTTCGTTGTATGTCAAGCTAAAATTTTAAAAAAAAGTGGATACAGAAAAAATACGGGGTTTTAGTTGGAAATCTAAAAATTTATTTTTGGTAATAAAAATGTTACAATTTATTGTTGTAAAATCAGACAACCCTTTGGTTTTGAAGAGCCAACAGGTTATTTAGCTACCTCATAGCTCAGTAGAAGTACTAGCTAACAAATGAGAAGAACCTGGTTAAATCCCAGGGGTTTTGTGGGTTTTGCATCCTACAAAATTCTCTAAAACCTTAAGAGAAATAAGCCATATCACTTTGCTTATCCATGTTTATTAGTCACTCGGTGTTAATAATTCAGACTGATAACCCCAATGGAAATATGACAGAGTCCCTCGATGACACACTATCTTGGGTTATCCTGGGTGGCTAACCCTCCGGGTTTAAAAAATCCGAAAATATTATCTTAATACAATGTTTCATCTTTTGTTTGTTAGTTCCTTAACATTCTCGAGTGACCTTCATCACTTTCACAGCCTTTACTCTGTTTATAAGTCTTTACCAGTTACTGCCTCCATAAAGTCTGGTTAATTATTGAGACACAATTACCCCGAGGAGTGTGCAATATGATCAATATTGTAAGACAAGACCAAGGCTGACCATTTAAGGATTTCCTTACCACACACAGCAATTTCGTGTACTTGTGCACTATGTCCAGCTCTGGCAGAATCAATACATGCTCTATAGTCTCACAGGTCACAGTGACCAGTTAGAGCACACACTAGTGCCCACAAGACACACAAAATGAATAAAGAATGAGAGAGAGAGAGAGATCATACCTGCTCGCCATGTTTATGTCAGGCTCACTTGAACACCCGACCATGGCTGCCATCACACCCCACAATATTTACCTCTGTTTTATAACCAAAATCACCTAGCGTTTCTTAACATTAGAGCTGCCATTCTTCCTCCTAAATACACTAGTCCCTCTCTCTCAAAAAAAGGCGTTAGCGATAACTGGATCCGAATAAATTTTTATGTTTTACTAATGGAATTTTTCCACAACCCTGTTTTTTTTTCCTCTACCCCGCTAAATTGGGAGTTACATTGCTGGGGGTGCTCGTGTGATGTTAAAAAAGTTTGTTTAGGAAAGATACACAAAATTTAAAATTTACACAATTATCATACATAGAAACATTTAAAATTTACCTGGGTACCCAAAAAAGTCAAACTGACATTTTTTATTGAGGTGGGGGTCATGGTGGGGGTGGGGGTGTGCTGTTGGGGCGTGGAGAACGGTCTGCGTTGGGGGCGGGGGTGCTCCTAGTGTGCTGTGGGTACGGTGGTGCTTCTGGTGCTGCTGCGGAAAAGAATAACAAGCGGCAAAAAGAGGTCAATATATCTGAAATGGGAAAAGGAACACTGGTCAGAGAAATAGCAAGCTCGAACTTAAGCTAAAGAAAACTTATAGGATCAGGAATCGGGGAAGAACTAAAAGCCATAAAGAAATCGAAAAAAACCCAAAGATTTCTTCTCCTATGCCAAATCAAAGTCGAGAACAAGCCCAGTTTTGGGGCCCCTACAAAAACAAATGGTCCTACACGATGACAGAAAGGAAGTAGTGAGCACTCAAGTCCAATATGACTCAGTTTTTGCAAGCCGCTAACCAGTCGAGAGTCAAAGATCAAATAATTTTTTATGGGAGCCACAAAATTTGGAAAACACAACCCTATCCGATTTTATCCTACGCCAAATAATTTGAACAGGCGATAAATGACATCCCCTTTTGCCTCTCCCCCGGGCCAGACTCATGGAACCCCGTGTTCTAAAGAACTGCAAGAAGCCCCTACACGAGCCTTTTCCATCCTATGGAGGAGCAGGGGCCGGGGGGGTCGTCCCACAGTTACTAAAAACAAAGACATAGCCCCACTCCAAAAAGGGGGGCAGTAAAGCAACAGCAAAGAACAAGACCGATCACTAACATCCCATACATAAAATCTTTGAAAGGGCCCTAAGAAGCAAGATCACCCCCCATCTAAAAACCCCATCATTACAAACCCAGGGCAACAGGGGTTTAGAACGGGTCGCTCCTGTCTTTCTAACTTTTTGGATCACAGACAAGGTCCAGAGCATAAAAGACAAAAAATGCAAGTAATTATCGATTTCAAAACCCTTGAACAAGTGTGACCATGGCGTAATAGCGCACAAAATGGGGTTGCAAAGGAATAACAGGAAAAGTCGGCGATGGATCTATAATTTCCTCACTAACAAACACAGAGTAGTCTCAACAGAGTAAAGTCCGAGGCAGCTACGGAAAACTCTGTTCCACAAGGCACAGTACTGTTTTCCTCTTTTTCCCTCCTCATATCTACATAGACAAGGATGTCAGCCACACCCCGTGTCTTCCTTTGCAATGACCCCCAAAATCTGCATGACAGGTTTCCTTTGCAGCACTGAAGGCCCAGGCGGAATCAACCAAATCTTTCAGTGGGCGCAGAAAACAATATGAAGTTCAACGATGAAAATTTAAATTTTATCAGTTTGGTAAACACGAGGAAATTAAATCTTCATCAGAGACAAAAAAAATTTCGGGCCCCAAAAAATAAGCGAAAACACCAACGCAAAGACTGGGAGTGATCTGTGGGAGGATCTCCCCTTCAAGGACCATAACATTGATCAATCGCATTGCTAAAAAAAATGACAGGATGGATAATGAAACCTCAAAACTAGGGGGGGCCAAGCCCATGATGCACTCTTCATTTCACTTTTTCTACTGGCTGGAATATTGCTGCACACTAACAGCACCTTTTTAAAGGGGCAGGTGAAATTGCTGCCCTAGAAAATGTACAAGAACCTTTCACGGCGCGCAAACGGAGATAAAACACCTAAAATTACTGGGAGCTTGAGGTTCCTAAACCTGTATTCCCTGGAATGTGGGCGGGAAGATACATGATTATATACCCCCGGAAAAAATCCAAAGGGGGACAGTACCAATTTGAAAAGAAAATCACCCTATACGAAAGCAAAGACTTTGGCAGACGTGCACCATCCCCCCAATAAAAAGCAGGGGGTCACTAGACGTTAAGAGACCATACAAAAAGTGTCAGGGGCCCGAGACTGTTAAACTGCCTCCCAGCACACAAAAGGGGGGATTAAACCCAAACAGACCCCGGGCAGTTTTCAAGCGGGCCTGGACAAGCACCTAAGTCAGTTCCTGTCACCCGGGCTGTGGCTCGTATTTTTGTTTGCGTGCAGCCAGCAGCAACCCCTTTGATAGGCCTATCCACCAGGAGGCCTGGTCACAGCCCGGGGCCGCGGGCGTTAAAACCCCAAAACTCTCCGGGAAACTCCAGGCCAGGTAAACACAAAAGCAAAAGACTTTGGCAGACATAAACACCCCCCAATGAAAAGCAGGGGTTTCACAGCACTTTAAGAGACCATACAATAAGGTCAGGGGCCCGAACCGTTAAACTGCCTCCCAGCAACAAAGGGGGATTACCAAAGACCCCTGAAACTTAAAGTACCTAAAGTCGGTTCCGACCACCGGGCTGTGGCTCGTACGGGTTTTCGTGCCCAGAGTAACAGCCGGGTTGATCAGGCTCTGATCCAAGGAGGCCTGGTCACAGCCCGGGCCGCGGGGGCGTTGCCCCCGAACTCTCTCCGGGAAAAACTCTCACTGCTGGCGGGGGGGGTGCTCCTAGGTGCGCGGGTGGGGGCGGTGCTTTTTTTATTGCTATTGCTGGTGCTGCGCTGGTGGGGGGGCGGAGGTGCTCCTAGTCTGTTGGGTGGACGGTGGTCTCTTGCGGTGGGGGCGGTGCTCCTGGTGCTGGGGGCGGCGGTGCTGCTGCTGTGGGGTTGGCCTGCTGGGGTTGGCGGCGGTCCCCAGTGCGCTGGGGTGGGCGGGGGTTCTCCTAGTGCTGCTGCGGTGGAGGGTGGGTCCATGCTCTTGTGGTGATACTGCTGGAGCGGGGTGCTCCTGGTGCTGTGTTGGTGGAGGGTGGGTTTCCTATCTCTTGCTGCTGCTCTGGGGGGCGGGGGTTTGCCCTGGGCGTGCTGGGGCGGGGTGCTCCTGGGCTGCGCGGGTGAGGGGGGTGCCCGGTGCTACTGCTGGTGAGGGTGGTGCCCCTGGGCTGCTTTTGGTGGGGCGGGGCTCCTGGTGGTCCGGGGTGGCGGTAGTGGTGCTGCTCCCCTGCTCGGGTGGTGGTGCTGCGCCGTTTTGCTGGTGCTGTGCTCGTTTTGCTGGTGCGCGCTGCAGCACTCCTGAAACTGGGAACGTTCCAGAGAATACAACAATCCTTGCTTGTTTTCCTGGAAAAGTGGGGCAGAAAGAGCTAAAAATACACTTGGAAAATCCAGAGGGATTGGTACCAACTTCATACAAAAAATCACCCCTAGGGATGGATATAGATTCACGGAGAACTACAGAGAAGGATGAACTAAAATGATTTACTGTAAAGGGAAATCCCGTATGAAGATAACCTTGAAACTTCACTCTCGTAGAGAAAAGGGAAAGAGGGGGGGGATATCATCGAATGGATATGGGCATAAAAGAAGGGGGGATATTTAAAAAAATATTTAGGAATCGAAAACAAAAGGGAAAAACGGAAAAAAAAAGATTTTAAATTAGATAAAAAATTTAAATTTTGAAAGGGCAATATGAAGTTCAATGTGAGAAATTTTTAATTATTTCGATGTGGAAAAAAAGGTGAGGAAATTTAAAACTATCGGAGTATAAAACAAATTCCAATACACAATAGCGAAAAATTAAAGTAAAAGACCTTTGGGAGGATAAGCAGAGGAAAATCACCTTCAAAGGCCCCAACATTGTATCAACGATCTGCTAGAAAAAAAAGACAGGGTGGAAATGAGAACCTTCAAAAATAGGGATGCCAAACCCATGAAGACCTCTTCAGGGCGCTTTTTCTATCTAGCTGGGTGTTACTACACAAACACAACTTTCAAGGCAGGTGAAATTGCTACCTAAAAATGTACAAGGCCCCCTTCCGGCACACATAAATGCGATAAAACACCTCAATTACTGGGAACACTTAAAGTTATTTCAACCCCTACCCCTAAAAAACCCCGACGGGAGAGACATGATTTTCATACATTGGAAAAACTTAAGGGGGGGGGGGGGAAAATTTTTCACACGAAAATCCTTCCGGGAGACGATGCAACGCCTCTCAATGAAAAGTAGGGGCGCCCTAGCACGTTAAGAACAACACAATAAATGTCAGGGGCCCAAAACGTTGCCTCCCACCATACTTTAAGGGTGACTACCAATAGACCCCTGGGTACTTTGAGAAGGCGCTGGACAGCACCTAAAAATCAGTCCTGACCAGCCCGGGGGGTTTGGGTTCCCTACTAGGGGGTTTCGGCGGCCAACATAACAGCCGGTTGATCAGGGGCCCTGATCCCCATAGGCCTGGTTTCAGACCGGGGCCACGGGGGCCTTGACCCCCTCGAAAAACCCCCTCCAAGTATACTCCAGGTAAAAACTATAACTTACCATACCACGGGCGGGATTTGAACCCGCAGTCAGAGAGTCTCAAAACTCCAGACCCCGGTTAGCCACTGGACCCGCTAGCCACAATAAGATTCGTCCAACTAGGTATATTTCTACACCATAGGAAAAATTAGCTAGGGACCACTGTACCACAAATCAATTTTTACAGACGAATCTCCACTAGCGTGGCCCTGACGAAAAATCTAGCTTTAAATCCCCTTTACGCCGTCAACTGCCCGAAATGAATGACACGATTGCAAACAAACCCATACCCGGGGGGGATTTGGAACCCGCGGGCAAGGGGTCTCAAAAACCCCCGATCGTCGCGTTTTGCCACTGCATTACGATTTCGTGAGTCATGTTACGGCAGTGAAGGGATTGAGCTAGATTCGTACGGCCCCCTAGCTGGAAAATTTTTTCTGTAAAAACTTTCATTTCGGTCACAGTTGCCATGCTAAACCCTTTCCCTTTGGGGAGAAATATACCAGTTGGACGAATCTTTTGTGGCTAGTGGTCCAGTGGCTAAAGCGCGGTCTGGAGTTTTGAGATCCTGCCGGGTTTTTAAACCCGCCCCCGGTATGGTTTGTTTTCAATCGTGTCATTACGATTTCGTGAGTCATACTATAACTTGCTTAGTACTGTAACCCGGGGCCTAGTCCCGTACCCATTATGTGCCTCTAATATTTTTTACCATCCCTACATGGTGTTAATGAGGCAATGATAAACCATTAAACCCCGGAGGGGCCCTTTTCTGCATAACATCTTGTTTATGTATATTGAACAGTACCCTTTTTTTTAATACGGACCTTATTTGTTTGAATTTTTTTTGTCCTTTTTCATGTGTGTCAATATCGTTTTCCCTTTTGGTGAAATTCTCGTTTGTGACTAGGGCCCCGTTTGTTTTTGTGAATATCCTTTGTTTAAGGTGAGCTCCTGTTTTTAGCACCCTCATTGTTATGAACATAAAAACAAAGAAAGGAGGAACATGCAGCTGCGTTGGCCCCCTACTAGGCAGGTCGTCTCAATCCCTCCCACTAACAGAAAATTTTTATTAACCAATTTTTAACGCTGCTCAGGCAATAATTTGATAATTCTATTTCTCATGTCAAACAGTGCCCGTCTTGCGTGATGAATATCATTTTTGATTAAAGTGTTGTTTTATACTACAGTGACACAAGGTATGGTTTTTCTTCAGACACTGCGTTTGCGTCTATATTATATTTTCTTGATTACAAATAAAGCGGCACTGCTGGCGAGATAGTAATGAAGCGACAGTAGGGATTACACGAGTTTGCCCAAGCTCGGGTAAGGGGCCACACAAAAATGTCCAGCCCTGCCCGGCTGCGCCCAACGTAAACACTAACCTTTAACCATTTAAAAGGGCAAAAAAAATAAGGGAAGGACGATAATGCCCGGATCTCACGTTAAGGCCACAACCTGTCGCCATCGCAACTGTGAGGGAAAAAGATAAGGGGACAAAAAATGGTTTAGGAGGAGACTTTATTTTACCCCAACACATATCACTTATTAAAAATAGAGGTATTAAATTCTTATTTTACAGCAACGAGACCTGGCTAAAAAGACAAAGTTGGGGGGGGGTACTGCAATATAAAAACAGGGGGAATTAACCTGTTTTATACTTGTGACATGGGTAAATCATGTTCTACTGTCTCAGCTCACCAAGGGGCCAAAATTCTCTGGTGACCCGCTTGTTGAGCCAGACTGTTCGGACAATTGTAAAGGACGTCGGATGTTGTCACAGTTATTCTCTGATTTTACTTGTAACACTCCTACTTTTCACTGAGTGTCGAATTAGACTCCCGAACGTCTATTATTTCCCATGCATGGAATATGAATTTACACTTTTGTCTCCGTCCCGAGGAGTACATTCTCCCTACTGTGGAAAATTGCATTTACTTGGATGTATAATTATATACATAACAGTAAATGAACAATGATAACTATTATTTATCAGTTAGACAAGTAGGAATTTGGGACACTTAGGTCGCAAAAAAATGTCCCCCTTCGATACCTACCACTGTCATATCCACAAGTTGCTCTGGACCTATTAATTAAATGAAATATACATACACCAGGAATGCTGGTAAATATATAAATTTGTGGACTGTATATTAAAAATAAATCTTATATATATAACAAAAAATTTAAAAAAAGGGAAAAAATATCTTAATACACTCCCAATTTGACTAAGATTAATGTGTATATACCGAAAACCTCACTCTAAAAAATCAGAAAATAATCTGGCCAGAATTATACACAAATCTAGAGGCTTAACTGAGGTTCCTGAGCGTCTTGTCCCCGTCGCCTGTTTTCTCAAGTTATGAGGAATGCACACCCCCCAATTTCGCCCCTAAATTTTTAGAGGTTCACACAATTTTTAAACCCCTAAGCACGAAAAATTTCTTCCCCCTTCACCAACGTTTCTAAAAAAAATTTAAAAAACCCAAAAGGCGACTTCTCTTCTGCGCAGGCACAGGTCCAGTTTCCCATTTTCTTAATATAAAATTTTTTTTTTTTTAAAAAAAAACAATAAAGGCAAACTATTTACCTATAAATTTTACCGTATTTTTCCGGAAAATAAAAAGTATTTTCCACACCCCACCCTGTGCAGGGCCCCAATACTTGAGATATTTTTCTTATTTTTTACTCTGAGCAAACAAAGCTCTCAGATCCTTCCCCCTCGGATAACTCACGTGCTTTGAAAGAAGTGAACGTGGAATACTTATAAACAGACAGTACAACTGGTTTTTAAAAAACCAGTGAATCTTTTGGCAGGGGTTAACAAAATAGTCATCAAAAAAATGATTGCAAAAACAACTTTTTTTTGAAAACCACTCTTATTTCAGATTCATAGAGAATTCGGGAGTTTTTTGAGTTTAGACTTTTTTCACCGCCCCTTAACCCAGCCTACATCAGCACCTGATAAAAAACCCAAATACTATGTAATTTCGGTTCTCTTTTTGGGCTGATAAACTTTTAGGTCGAAACGTCTATTTTAATTTTCATTACCACGTTTGGTCGAAAATTGTAAAATTACAAAGGGAAAAAACTCATGGGAAAAGGTAAATTCAAACCCTTTTTAGCCATTTAAAACTAGCCGGCCAGGGGATACTATCCAAAGGGGGGCATGATTAAAACACTGCCTATTTAAATTTTTAAAATTTTTTTCATAGAGTTCAAATCCCCAACCCCTCCATAGAACAGAATAAACACTGCAAAAAACCACTGTCCCATACTAGGCAGGCCTTTTTCCCAAACCCAACCCTACTAATCCAAAATGTGTCCCAGTCATTTTTGAGGGGGATACGAAAAAGTTAACTTCATCTCCTTTTTTGGGTTTTTGTTCCACTGGGCCCCCAACTCTTTTTCCAAACCAGTACTTTTCTATTCTTTCCCAAATTGAATTTATCCAACTTACTCCATTGTTTTAGTTCTTTTTTGGGTTATTTCCCGAACCCCTTTTTGACATCTTTTTGCTTATATCGTATGCGCAATCATATTTCCCTTACCTAAAATTTTTACGAGAGTGCTGTTTTGTGGTCGCTATCTTCGTAAGTAAGAGTCCTTAACAGTAGAAGAATTTTTGTGATGCATCTCTATAATTTTATTAGAATTTTTTTCCCGCCGTACATTGGGAAAAAGTAGCTGAGCAGCGGAATTAAGTGGGCGTATTAAAAATTATTTTTTTTTACACTAATTTTTTCAGGGTAAGGTGTTATCCTACCTCACTCATTTCAAACATAACCTAATCTAAATTTTAAAAACCTTTTTTGGGCTTGATATTAAAAATGTCTCTCATTGTTTAAGAATATATTTAAAAGGTTTACTTAATCCCAAATTTTTTGAATTAAAGTGTTCTTACTGATTGGGAACAGGTTTTTAAAAGCACTTTAACAACCTTTGTAGGTACCCACAGGCCTGGTAGGGCCCCTGGCCTGGTAAGCTGCTCTCACTTTACACGCTAAGTGTCCCCTGGTTTGATTCCCGGGCGGTTTCTTTAAAACCTTTTCCCCGTTCACCTACAAGCAAGTAGGTTTCCGGGGTGTTAGTCGATGGTGGGGGTTTTCGAAACCCTTTGGGGAAAAAGGGAAATTTGAGGGACCCCCAATGGAAATAAGCAGACATTTCCCTCGAGAGGGCATGCCTTTTGGGCCTATCCTGGGGGGCAACCCACCGGGGGTTTAAAAATATACAGTTCCTTAAAAGGTTGGTTGGGGGGCTCTTTGATTTGGGGAAAATTGGATCTGTGCTCCGTTCCCCAATTAAGTCTAATCCCTTTCCCCACACCCCCCCCCCCCCCCCGGCCCCCCCCCTGTAAAATCCTCCGAGTTTAGCGTTTCCCCCCTTTGGAATTTTTTAATAATAAAAAATTGGCCAGTAAAAGGGCCCTACTGCGAAAACCCGGGTTTAAAGCAGGTTACCTCTTAATCCCGTTTTGTTAAGGGTTTTGAAAAATGGGGGGCCCGCCAACCACTTCCTCAAAAACCAAATTTGATATGTAAAGGTTTTTCTCCCCAATTCTAATTTGAGTTGGGGAAAAATTGGCCCTTTGGGGAAAAACCCTCATAAAAGCATTACCTGGACCCCAACTTTAATTTTCGTCGTGAGAAAAACTCGCAGACCTGAAAAATTTTTTAAAAATCGATTTTCCAAAAAACCGACGGAACTGAGGTAAGTATTTTTATTTTTAAAACTTATACAGCCCAAAAAACTGAGTGGCATCTGATTTTTATTATTTTTGGGCGAAAAAGGAAAGGGGAAAAGAACCTTCCCCCTTTTTTTATCCCTCTCGTTCCTTTTCTTGTATTGTCAATCAAAAATAAATATTAGAATTATAACCCGGGGGGTTATAAAACGTAATTTTTATATACAGAACAATAAAAATATCTGGGTTCCCAAATCTGCACACGAAATTACTCCCCCCTTGCACCCAAAGTTTAAACAGCCAAAAATTTCAAATTGGGGTTTTAAAGCCGGGTTTTCGTCTGGGGGGTTTGACCACGGTTCCAGTCAAGGGTTTTTAAAAGAATCAAAAGGGAAAAAAACATTTTGTTTTTAAAACAAAAGATTTTTATTTTTTTTTTTTATATGGGGATGGGGTCCCACCTCTAGTGAAAAATTGGGGGGAATCCAAAACTGGGAAAAGGGGGGGTTTTTGATAAAAAAAAGCTTAAAGGGGAAAAAAAAAAAATTTTTGGAAATTTCTTCCTAAACCCGTTTGAATTTTTTCCACACCCCCACCCACCCCATTTTTTTTAGAAAGTATTTGAAATTTTTTTTAACCTGTATGCTTTCGTGTTCAGGGGTCAGGGGGGTCATTTAAAAATTACCTTGGGGGTTTACCGGAGGGAATTTTTGGGGGGGGGGGGGGAAAACCCCCCCCCCCCCCGGGCCTGGTCTGTGACCAGGCCCTCCGGGTGAATCAGAGCCTGACCCAACCGGCTTTTGCTGCTGGCTGCAGGGAAAACCCAAACGAACGACCCACAGCCCGGCGGGACGGGAAACCCGGGCCCTTTATTTAGGTGCTTGCCCAAAGGGGGCCAGTTTGGGAAGCCCTGCCAGGGGTTTTTGTTTTAATCCCCCCTTATGTATCGGGGGGGCAGTTAAAAAACGGGCCCCTGGGGCCCCTGAAAATTTTATTGTAGGGGTCTTTTAAACGTGCTAGTGACACCCTTGCTTTTCATTGGGGGGATGTTGCTTTCTTTAACTTTTTTTCCAAGGTTTTTTTGGGGCTTTTCGAAATTTTTGGAAGGTTAATTTTCCCCCCGGGGGCCCCAAAAAGGGTTCAAAAACCAAAAAGGCCCCCTTTAGGTTTATTTTTCCCCAAGGGTTTTTTATTGGGTTTAAAGGGTTAAATTTTTTCCCCCCCTGGCTTTCCGGGATTACAGGGTTCCCCCCAGGAACCTTTTCCAACCCCGGTCCCAAAAGTTTAATTGAGGTTGGGGTTTGTTTTATTTTTCCGTTTGCCCCGGGCCGGGGCCTTTTTTCCCTAAAAAAAGGTTTTTTCCTTTTAAAATTTTTTTTAGGTCCCCCCCCAATTTCCCCCACCGGGGCCCCCTTGAAAAGGTGTTGTTAAAGTGGGCCAAAGGGCCCCCAAATTTTTCCAGTTTTTTTAATAAAAAGTCCAAAATTCTTCAGGGTGGGCCCCTAAACGGTTTTTTTTCCATTCCTGTTTTTTTCAAGGTTGGGGTTTTGTTACAAAGGGGGTTTTTTCCCTTAAGGGTTTGGCCTTAAATTTGCCCAACCCCCAAAGGTTTTTGACTTGGGCCCCTTATTTTTTGGAAATTTTGGCCCCCGGGAATTAAGTTTTTAATTTTAAAATGTTTCCCAAATATTAAAATTGAAATTTTCACTTTTTTCCCTTTGGGACCCCTTTTTTGCTCCTTTTGCCCCCCTCCCACCCGGTTTTCCCCAAATAAACGGGTCAGGAAAGGGCCCCCTGGAAAAACCCCCGGGGGGTTTCCGAAACCCTAAAAAGGGTTCCCTAGAATTTTAAAAACCCCCAAAACAAAAATTTTTTTTTTAATTATATATAAACCGGGTTTTGGGGTGGAACTTTTAAGAATTTCTTTTTTTTTGTTAAACAGGGGGGTTTCCTCCACTTGGGGGTCCTCAAATTTGGGTGAAATTTTTCCCAAAAAGTTTCCTTAGTCACCAAGTATTTAACTTTAACCTTAATATCCTTTGGGCTACGGAAAAAATTTTATTTTAAATTTCCCCCAAACCTGTTATTATTTTCCTTGGCCCCCTTTTAATTTTTTGCTTCAAGGGAATCCAAAAGGGGACCCACCCGGAACCCTTTTAACTTAAAAGGCACCGGGTCAAGGAAAAAAGGGCCTTGGGGGAACCAAAAGGCGCTTATTATTTACACCCTTTTGAATTTTCCCAACAAAAAAACCCTTTCCAACAAAATTATTTTGGAAAATATTAAAAGGGGAACCTTTTTTTAAAAATTTAACAATTAAAAAAAAGGGGTAATTTTGGCGTAAAATTCCCAACCTTTTTTCATAAATTTACTTTCCCCAATTTTGCCTTTTATTTTTGGTTGTATTTTTTAAATTTTATTTTTTTACAGAAATTTAAAACCCTTTGAAGGGTTGTCCGTCTCCCGGCAAAACAAGGGGGTAAATTCGGCCCCGGTTCGGGCGGTGAAAGGTTTTGTCCCAAACGACCTTTTAAGGTTTGCCCGGAAAATGGCACAAACATTAATTTTGAAAAACCAAAAAGGACCTTAAAATTTAAAAAACGGAACAAATTTTTCAATATTGGACCTTTTTGGTTTAAAGATTTTTTTATTTTTTTAAGAAAGGAAACCAAGGGGTGGTGCTCTTTAAAAGGCCAAAAATTCTCCCTCCTAAATTTCCTTTTCATCCTCTTCTTCACCCAACTTACCCTCACCCTCTTCCTAAACCTTTTGCCACTTTCCCTCCTTTTCTTTTTTTCCCGCTTTACTCATCTAATTCTCTCTCTCCTTCTTCTCTCTCTCTTTTCCCCTCTCCCCTCCTCTCTCCTCTTCTTTTTCCTTCCCCTCTCTCCCCTCTCTCCTCTCCTCTAAAACCCTCTCTCTCCCTCCCCTCTCTCCCCTTCTCTCCCCCTCATCTCTCCCCTCTCTCTCCCCCTCTCTCTCTCTTCTCCCCTCTCTCTCTCCGTTCTCTCTTTTTTTCCCCCTCTCCTCTCTTTTTTTTTTTTTTTTTTTTTTTTTACACGGGGTTTAAACAATTTTAAGGATCCCAAGCTTTTTTGACAAGTTTATTTACGGGTTTAAGGATTCCAAAATTTTTAAAATTGGCAAGAAAGAGCGGGTTCCCTACATCGCTTTTTTGAAAGCATTTTTTTTTGTTATGAGACTAAAAGAGGGAACGGGATGAAATTGGGGGCCATCGGGGGGCCCGGGGTTTTCATTTGATCAACTAAATTTATCTGGGTTGACATAAATTATGCTTTTGGGAATGTTTTCCATACTCGAGTTTACCCGGGGTATATATATCTCAGAGGGAGTGATGTTCTGGAGAGGGGTTACGGGGCCAGAGTGAAGTTGCTGCTTTCGCCCGTCTTGGGGGCAAAAAAGCTTGTTTCACGCTGTCCTCGAAGTGGACCCAAGTTTGGTATTTTGGGACAATATTGGGCCTTGAACTTTAACAGTAAGGCCCCCCAACACCCCTTTTTAAAGGGGGGGGAAGGCTTTTGCTGAAATGACAATCAAACCGGAGGGGCCCCAGGCGAGGATGAGACGTCTTGCTCTGTTCTCTACTCTGTCAAGCAGCCCGCAGATGAGAGGGGAGGCGGGAAAACCAAAAAAAGTGGAGCTACTCAAGGTGCGAGCGTTTTCTTGTGGCCCCGTACAGAAACTTGCAACCCCTACTGTCAATAAAATTGGGGGGATACGGCGAAGTGCTGAAAACTTCCCCGGGTTTCCTTTTTGCAAAAAAAATTTTTCCAACATGGTTTTTTTCATGGCTAGTTTGGGGGGTCAAATTTCACCCCAAGGATTTCAACTTTTTTCTCCAGGTCCAAACACCCTCCCATTCAACCTTACTAGCACCAGCATTAAACCCCCAAGGGGCCTAGAACGATCACATTGATTTTTTCTAAGGGGGCAAAAAGTTACTTTCCATTTTTTCCCCCCGTGATTTAGCTCCAAATGGTGATTGATGTAGCCTTTGGGGCAGCCCCCGGCATTTTCTCTTGGTAAATGAATGTTTAGGTACAGTCGTCCTCATATGCTGTGATTTTTGGATTTATAAAGAAAGGGCGTTGAAGTTTGACATTCCATAACAAGGTCCCCGCACCTTCCTTGTGGAACACTTGCCCCAAAAGGAAGTCTTTCTGATTTCCCCTTCCATTGAGGAAAATACACTTAGAGATCTACCTGAAGGGGAAAACACTGAGGAGACTAGCGTAGGCCTGCATTTCCGTGCTTGAAAATTTTTTTAAGAGGCCCTGGTTCCACAAACCCGGGCGAAAGCACCAGCAATGTTTCCCTGCTACCCACACAGCCTTTACTTTGGATTCATCCGTGACGGGGCCCCTTAGTTGGGGAGGGGTTTTAAAAAAAACCCGCAGCAGGGGTAAAACCCTTTTCCCGAAGCCTATTGACGGGTCACAAAGTAAATGAGTTTATATTTAAAAAAACTCTTCAAATTTTTCCCTTTAGAAATTTTTGTCTCAAAAGGGTCTTACCATTTATTGACGGAAATGGGCACTGGCCCTTAAAACTGTACTTTGGCAATGTTGAAAGATGTGAAAGATGTGCACTGGGGGCTGCACATCTCGCAATCTTGGGCTTAACTTTCTTCCTCTCTCTTCCTTTTCTCTCTTTTTTTTTTTTTTTTTTTTTTTTTTTTTTTTTTTTTTTTTTTTTTTTTTTTTTTACACAGGGTTTGACAAGGTTAAGGATCCCTAGCTTTATTGACAGCTATATTACAGGTTAAGGATTCCTAACTTTATTGGCAAGCTAAGAGCTGTTACCTACATCAGCTCATTTGAAAGCATTTTTATTGTTATGAGACATACAAGTACGGGACAGGATGAAGTTGGAGCCATCTGTGGGCCAGCATTTTCATTTGATCAACTGACTTTATCTCGTTGACATCATTATGCTGTACGAATGTGTTCCATACTCGAGTCATCCTGGTATGTATGATCTCAGATGGAGTGATGTTCTGGAGAAGGGTACAGCCAGAGTGAAGTTGCTGCTTTCTGCCCGTCTTGTGGCATAAAAGCTTGTTTCACGCTGTCCTCGAAGTGGATCCAAGTGTGGTATTTTGACAATATGGCCTTGTACATAACAGTAAGGCCACCCACATCCCTCCTATGTTGAAGGCTCTGCTGAAATGACAGATCTATCCAGGATGGGTCCAGGCGAGAGATGAGACGTCTTGCTCTGTTCTCTACTCTGTCAAGCAGTCGCAGATATGAGAGGGGGGGGGTAGGCAAACCAAGAAAGTGGAGCATACTCAAGTTGTGAGCGTACTTGTGCCTCGTACAGGATCTTGCAACCCCTACTGTCAAGCAGATGCGAGATACGGCGAAGTGCTGTAAGCTTTCCCCTCTCTCTCTCTCTCTCTCTCTCTCCTCCTCTCTCTCTCTCTCTCTCTCTCTCTCTCTCTATCTCTCTCTCTCCTCCTCTCTCTCTCACTCTCCTCTCTCTCTCTCTCTCTCTCCTCTCTCTCTCTTTCTCCTCTCTCCTTTCACAGGGTTTGACGAGGTTAGGTTAAGGTTAGGTTAAAGATCCCTACTTTATGACAATGGATCCCCAACCTCTCTCTCTCTCTCTCTCTCTCTCTCTCTCTCTCTCTCTCTCTCTCTCTCTCTCTCTCTCATCCTCTCTCTCTCTCTCTCTCTCTCTCCTCTCTCTCTCTCTCTCTCTCCTCCTCTCTCCTGCTTACTCTCTCTTCTCTCTCTCTGTATACAGTACCTTGTCCTTTACTCTCTCGCAGGTGACGTCCCCGGAAGCCTTCGCTCTCCTATTGTGTTCACATTTCCTCAACAAATACGCTCACGTGAACACAGTCAGTGTCGAGGTAGAGGAGTACCCATGGCGTCGCCTTGTGGTTGACGGCCGTGCACACAACCACGCGTTCATCTTATCTCCCGAGTACAAGCACACCTGTAAGGTGACACAGAGGCGCGGAGGTGAGATGGCAGGGGCATGATGAGGGGTAAGTTCCAGAAAAAAACAAGAGGGTGCTTACCTGATGAAGAAAGTTTATATGTTCCATACTAAGGAATCAAGGACTAAGGTATCTTTATCTCATTCCATGATAGGAGTTGCAGTGTTGTATACATTACTGGTGTTGTGTGGATAAGACACATAGGCACAGTTCAGGACATATATTGAGTGGTTTCTTCATTGTTGATATTGTCAATTCTGTATGTATGCTAGTGTTCTTAAAGGCGTTTGGGAAGATTTCTGGCAGTTTCTCCATTGTAGAGCTTGTCGCACCAATTCCTTCGTCCCAGGGATACCGTAAACTTCTGTTTCTCTGGGTGCAGTGATGAGTGTGGAGGATCTTGTGATAAGAACATAAGAACATAAGAACGAAGGAACGCTGCAGCAGGCCTACTGGCCCATGCGAGGCAGGTCCAAGTCTCCTACCGGCTTAAGCCAATGCACCCAATCTAGTCAGGTCAGGTCACATTGACTTAAGGGAGGAACACGGCAACCGACCTGGTAGCACAAGCTATCAGGTCCAACTCACACCCACCCACATCCACTCATGTATTTATCCAACCTATTTTTAAAGCTACACAACGTTCTGGCCTCTATAACTGTACTTGGGAGCTTGTTCCACTCATCCACAATTCTATTACCAAACCAGTACTTTCCTATAACCTTCCTGAATCTGAATTTTTCCAACTTGAAACCATTGCTGCGAGTCCTGTCTAGGCTAAATATTTTCAGCACACTATTTACATCCCCTTTATTTATTCCTGTCTTCCATTTATACACCTCAATCATATTCCCCCTAATTCTACGTCTTTCTAGAGAGTGCAGATTCAGGGCCCTTAGTCTATCCTCATAGGGAAGGTTTCTGATACATGGGATCAACTTTGTCATCCTCCTTTGTACATTTTCCAGAGCATTTATATCCATTCTGTAATACGGTGACCAAAACTGTGCAGCATAATCTAAATGAGGCCTAACCAAGGATGTATAGAGTTGAAGAACAACCTGAGGACTCCTATTATTTATGCTTCTTGATATGAAGCCAAGGATCTATTAGCTTTATTGCGAACACCTTAGCACGTTTTCTTGGTTTCAGATAACTGCTAACCAGAACTCCTAAAACTATTTTTTTATTCGCATCCGTAATATTACAGAACTACATTATAAGTTTATAAGTGGGCCATGGTAAGTGTCCTGTTCCAACATTTAAACTTTGCATTGTCAATATTAAACTGCATCGCCACTTCTCCGACCACTGCCTCAGTCTATTCAAATCTTCCTGGAGTGCTCTAATGTCCTCGGCCCAATTGAATATTCGAGGGCCCAATAATTGTGTGTCATCGGCAAACTTAGCTGTGTCGCTCATTTTTGCCCTAATCTATGGCGTTTATGTAGATTGTGAACAGCAGGGGGGCCCAGCAAATAAAAAACCCTGACCCCCAGTGGAACACCGCTTCGTGACGCTTCCCCACTCTGATTTCTCCCCCATTTAAGCACACTCTCTGCTGCATTTTTGTCAACCATGCCTCTATCCAGGAAAAAATTTTCTCCCTCCTATTCATGTGCTTAATTTTCCCTCAAATAGTCTCTGATTTTGGACCCTGTCAAAAAGCCTTACTGAAGTCCATATAGACAATAAATTCATATTCATTCCATGATCTACCTCCTCAGAACCTATAGTGAAAAAAGTTAATAAATTCGTAGGAGAACTCCCTTTGTTAAAACCATAGCAGGAGATTCGTTGATTAATTTATGCTTTTCAAGGGTGGCTACGAACTGCCTCGGCAATTATTGATTCCAAAATTTTTCCAACTATGGAGGTTTTAGGGCTTTTTGGTCTATAGTTCGAAGCTAAGGAACCAGTCACTCTCTTTTGGAAAATAGTATCATATTTGCCCATTTTCCATATCTGAAACCATGCCAGTATGGTAGGATATGTATGACAATATTAACCCAAGTTATGCAAAGCACCTCTATACATACCTTATTAGAACCCTTGCATAACAGTTCAACAGGGCCAGGGGATAATTAGGTTTTAATTTATCAATTTGTCTAAGGACCATGTCACATGTGGACCCTAAACGTGCACAGTTTAATTAACGTCCTGTTCTACATAATTAATCATTTCTAGAATATCGCTGGTAACTTTCCCAGTGTAAAAACGTGAGAGGAAGTATGTTTTAAAAAATTCTACACATTTCCTTAATCACTGTCAGTGAGCTTGACCCTAGGAACTTTTGAGTGGGCCTATCCTAGTCCCTTATCTTACTTCTTTTAAACCTGAAAGAATCCTTTTGGGTAAGTCCTTCGAATCACTTGCAACTTTAAACCTCATAAATCTCTTTTTGCTTTTCTAATTTCCTTTTTATTATTTCTTTCTCTCTATTAACTGAAAATATCGATTTCTTAATTGCCCCTCTCCTCTTTTGATTTGCCTATATATGCCTCTCTTTTGACTAATCAGATATTTTAATCTATTGTTCATCCATTTAGGATCATTTTTGTTTGATCTGATTTCCCTATTTGGAATATAATTTGACTGAACAGCTAGAACTATGCCCTGGAAAGCGTCATATCGGCAACCATCACCACTACCCTGACAATTAGTCAGGTCATTCCAGTTCAGCCCACCTAAGTAATTTTTCAGCCCTATGAAATCAGCCAAGCGAAAGTCAGGGACAGAGACTTGATTGCCATTATTAGGGGAATTCCATGATATATTAAAACTGAGTGATTTGTGATCACTTTCCCCAAGCTCATCATTAACCTCAAGATTATTAATTAGTGCTTCCCTACTGGCAAGAACCAAGTCAAGGAGGTCATTTCCCCTAGTTGGCTCTGTCACAAACTGTTTTAAAAAACAATCCTGGATCGTATCAAGAAAGTCACCTGACTCTAAATTTCCTGTCAAATTGCTCCAGTCAATCTGTCTATAGTTGATAATCTCCCATTAGCACAACATTTTCGTTTGTAGATGCCTTACGAATTTCGTCCCATAGAAGTTTACTGCACTCCCTATCAAGATTTGGGACCCTGTAAATCACACCCAAAATTAGTTTTTCTCGGCCCTCGAGAAGCTGTAACCAAACAGATTCAGTGGCTGACGCTTCTAATTTTATATCTTGTCTAAACACAACAATTTAAATTGTCTCTGACATACATCGCTACTCCACCACCCTTCCTGTTGACCCTGTCAGTGTGGAATAATTTATAGCCTTGTATGTGACATTCAGAGGGCATCTCTCTATCTTTCAGATTGAGCCAGTCTCTGTTTATAGCAATAATATCTATGTTTCCTGCACTTGCAATTAAGCTTAGCTCATCTATCTTATTTCTTACACTCCTGCTATTAGTATAGTAAACCTTAAGGGAGCTAGTCCCTTGCTGCCCTCTGCTGTCCCCCTTTGTTTGCTGACCTGATCTATTGTCTTTATTTATAACTTCATGCTGAATGCCTTTTATACATTTACTGTTTCCAACCCTAGTGTTGCAACCTGCTTGTTTCCCACACCACCCCATACCTCTATCTTCTATCAGTTTAAAATCACAGGCATTTCACCAATGGCCTTCTCAATTGAGTTTGCAAGTGCTACCACCCCAGCCCCAGAGAGATGTACCCCATCCCTGCATACATATCATGTTTGCCATAAAAGTTGTTCCAGTTGTCAATGAATGGGATTGCAAGTTCCTTGCAGAATCTGTCTAGCCAGCAATTTACACCAATTGCCCTAGACAACCATTCATTTCCTACTTCTCTTCTAGGCAAGATGCTACATATGATTGGGACCCCTCCCTTAGACTTAATGAGATCTGTAGCTGACCTGTACTTATCTAGCAGCTCTTCTCTCATACCCTTCCAATATCATTTCCACCAGCACTGAGACAGATAATGGGCTTGTTCCCATTACCTGACATGATATTATCCAGCCTGTTAACTATGTCCCCAACACCAGCTCCAGGGAAGCACACTCTATCTCTCATCTTCTTATTCCTATTACAAAAAGCACGGTCAATATATCTTACCTGAGAGTCACCAACCACAAGAATGCGCTTACCTCTGTTAGCAGGGGCAGTAGTACCCTTACCTTTCACTGGCCACTGAAGTACATTCATCCTGAAGAACAGAGAAGCGATTTCCTACCTTCAGATCTTCACTCTTAACTTTCCTTATTCTGATTCTCCTCCCATTACTGGGAACCACTCGCCACTTGTAGCAGGTGCTGGACTGCACCTCACTGCTGGTAGCCGTTGCTATCTCCCCACCTACAGCCTCCTCACAGCCGGAGACAGACTGCACCTCACTGCTAGAAGCCTCATTCCCCACAACTCCAGCACACCTCACACTCTCTCCCAGACCCATTGAGGTGGACCTTCAGCCTCGTAATCTCCTCCTGGAGAAGCAAGACCTCCTCCTTCAACTCTCCAACCTCAATTTTTAAAACACTGCAGAAGCAAGCCATGCTTTGTAACCGTCCACGCTAATCCCCAAAGCAGCTCAGGGTCTGTGACCTCACGTGTCTCCGATTGTCTTGTCCGGAAGTGATTACAGCTGCTACAACAGTTTAGGTTTTTTGTAGCATAGCAGAGATTATGGTGGCTGTGGTGCTAGTGGGTAAAATGATTGAACTCAAAATTGCTGCCATAACTAAATGTAATATTGAATACAGTCATCTTACTCACTGACACTACAACCAAAATAGTCTCCGACAATCTACATAAAGCAAACATTAATGCATCGTTACTTAGGTATTCCCCGAAAGTGAACTTTTAAGAGGTTGCATAATTTTTTCATTCTTCCTCTAATTTTTCATTTCTATTTCACTCATAACTTGAGAACGCCTCTTCCGATCGGCTTCGAATTTTCAGTGCCTGTATATGATAATGAAGACCAGATTCTTGGAAGAATTGCCATGTACTGGTGGTCAATAACCAAACTTATTGATTCTATTCCCAGAATCATGGAATG